TAGTATAAATGATCAATATGTATATCCGTCTATTTAAAACGCTGGATTTCACTAAACTGTTTGTTTTGACAACAAATCTGTTTGTTTTTCACTCAAAGGTCGTTGGAAGAATAAACCACCGAGTGTGGAAATATTTAAACATTAAACTTTTTTTCACCAATTAATTCAACCTAAAATATCTTTATATGTACGTTAGCTGGCCAAACATATTGTTTAAAAGGGTCGGGGGGGGGGAGAGTGTTAAGGGCAGGGGGTAACTAGGGGTATAAGGGAGATCAGAGGAATGGAGGAGGGAATGCTTTTTATAAATTCTTAAACTTTAAGTTTTTTATAATTCTGTGAAAAATTAAATCAATTCATGATTTCTGTACTTTTGGTACAATCTAAACACTAAAGTACTATCTGTACTACTAGTACCCTTTGTACTGTCAATGGTTCCTGAAAAGTTCATGTAGATACTGCCTACCAAATTTCGGCCTGAATTGAATGATAAATGACTGCACATGTTCAGACGAACTTGATTAACGACTCATAATTAAATCTAACATTCCGAAATGCATTCGATGCAGGTGCCAAAAGACACAAAAAGATATTTATAATATACATATATATATATGACCAGTCAAGGGGACGGTAAGGGGAGAATTTGACAACCCCCCCCCCTTTGGCAATATTAAACCAAAACAACAGTACAAAACTACATATTGTAGATGTCCAAAAATTGTAAAATTGTACAAGTTGTTTTATTTTGCTTTTAATCAAAGAAAACACCTAACAAAGTCCAGTCATGAAGATAAAGTTTAGTCTCCTATTGTTAAATTGTAAAAATGTAAATGATGTGAGTTTGATGAATACTGATGACAATATACAGGATTTTTAGAAATTTTCTTGCCACGGAATAGAGAATTTTATCTATATATGCAGTTAAGAGGAAGGGGGTAGTCCCCACCCCGTAATGAGTCCCCACCCCGTAATGAAATATAGGGGGATGGGGGTTAGGATCCCTTGTACCACCCCTGGCTCCGGGTATGCGCCTCTGCTCATTAATCTTTTGCCAAAGAATGCAACAATGTATGCAGTCCAAATCTAACAGCCTAAATCTAGGCAGAAAGGCATTCTTCAAATTTTGTCCTGTAGGTTTATAACAAAATTCTGATCTAGAAATTTTATCTTTCTGAAAGAGAATTTAAGCAGTGTAAGTTATCTTAATTAGTGTTGTTTCTTATTCTTGGTCTTAGGTTGATAATGGCCTGATGGCCTAAAATTCTACCATTTTTGAGTTTTTTATGCTACTAGATACATGATACGATTATGTGGGCTTTAATATAATCATGTGTGGTTTAGGATTTTATATCTATGCTTGATATTTGTCATTTTAGATCAAGAATGTTTATATTAACATCTGAATATTTATTCAGAGAGCTAACTAGCTAATGATATCACGAATAATTAAAAAAATATATTAGTTAATAGGAAAAAACGATTTTGGAGAACATATATGTACATCGTAAAAATCGCAATGCAGACAACATAGAACTAAAACACGAAGAACTTTTAATCGTAATCCATGAAATATTTACAAACAAACAAACAAAATGAAATTAACTATTTTTCTTAAATTCTCTCGATCTCAAGAACTGCAGCACACTGTTGGATCAAGTGCAATTTTTGGGATTTCAAATATTTCTTTTCAAATATTAAAAATTGTAATTTAAGACCTGTGTGACCAGGATTTACAGTACTTTAACTTTTTCAGTTTAAAGAAGTAGTTTTTTAAGTCCAAGGGAGGATATATTTACGACCTTTAGGGCTCACACCAGGATACTGTTGCCCGTAGATCTTATTCTTTACTTAAACCAACATTCCACATTTTAATTTTGTCTCAAATATTTGACATTTCTTAAATTCTTGGCTCCTTTTACAATCATATTGCGTAGAATTCTATAATCCATTAGCTTGGGAACCCAGCTTTAACTGGAGACAAAACTTTTCCTATAAAATTCAACCCTTGGAATTTTTATTCCAAGCTCAGAACATTCCTGTGGTTCTTTCGGGTTCCTCCATCAAAGTTTGAGGCAAATTGGCCAAGGAGTTCAAAGTCATGATTGGACACACAACCAACGAACAGACAAACAAAGATTCGTCCGATCTAAAAAGTAAAAATTAATTATTTTCCAATGTGGTTTCTCTAACGACTGCTTCCATAGTTGTTATTAAATAAAGGTTTAAAGGATACCATTGTGAATCGGACATGTCTTCTTTTAATCAAAAGTCTTTTTTAATTAACACGACAGTCCCCTTCGGGCGAGTAATTAGTTCCTTGCTAAATAATCTTTTTAATAAAGATAACTTTGCATAACTTTATCAGATAACGATGAACAGGAAATCTTGCAATAATATCCTTATGCAAGCTGGCAAATTATCCAGGCATGCGGAACCTTTGCATAGAATATTCTTCAGGTTATTGAACAAAGATGATTTTTTTCCGAAATTGATCACAAATATTCAGCAATCTATCAACTCTTTCAGCAGGAACCGTTTCATGCAAAAAATCGTTATTGTAGATTGCGTTTCAAATGGGAGGCGGAATAGTTCAGTAAGATATGAATATAGAATACGTTCCGAATTTTGTAAAAGAAAAATCATTCCATTTTTTTCTCAGTTTTTGCCCTGGAAATTTCCTATTTAAAAATCTGTATAATAAGCATGAAAAAAGGGGGGGGCAAGATGTAGGCAAGGGGAAAAAGAGGTATGAGGAAGAGAATAGAGAGGGGGAAACCCACAAGTTAATCTGAGGCTTAAAAAAAAAGAAGGCATATGTGAAATATAAGAGTTATGTTTAAAGATAAGAGATGAAGGGGGGAGATTATACAAGAACTTGACGGGGTTTACAAAGATGAAAATGCTTTTATTGATGTTTTCATATACCCTAAGCCGTGTAAAGGAATAGATGAGATAATAAACTCAAATTTATTTATAATTAAATTTTTCTTAGGAGATAAGAGAATTTTGCCGAAGAAAGCGACAAGAAATGTTACTTTAGCTGCTCTTCTTATAGAAGAGGTCACTAGGACCCTCACTAACAAGTAAATATGATTTTTATCCGTCTTGTAATTGTCGAACTTTGAATCATTTTTATCCGTCTTATAATTGTTGATTTTTTAATCATTTTTATCCGTCTTTTAAATGTTTATCTTTGAATCATTTCTTATAATTTTTAAGCTTTAAATAATTTATATCCGCCTTATGATTGTAGTTCTTTGAATTATTTTTTATCCGTCTTATACTTGTAGAATGTAGGTCTTTGAATCATTTTATCCGCCTTATAATTTTAGTTCTTTGAATCATTTTTATCCGTCTAATAATTGTTGTTCTTTGAACCATTTTTATCCATCTTATAGTTGTTGTTCTTTGAACCATTTTTTTACGTCTTATAGTTGTTGTTCTTTGAACCATTTTTTTTCGTCTTATAGTTGTTGTTCTTTGAACCATTTTTATCCGTCTTACAATTAATAATCTTTGAATCATTTTTATCGGACTTATAAATGTTAATTTTGAATTATATTATCATTGATGTATATCTTATGAAATTAAATATATTTCAAACTGATTTCATTAATTTGTACACTACACGTTAACATGCTTTTATTATTGTTTTTATCATTAATATTATTAATTACAACATGTGCTATAATACATACTTTATTTTTTACATTTTATCAAATTGTTGTAATTTCTTTTGTTTCAGATACTCTTTACCCCCCTGGGAAGTTGGATCTAAAATGAAGGTTCTGCCAATACAGGTCAGTGATGCATTCTCAGAATATTATTCCAACGAATCTTTTCCTTTCAAACTCGTCTTCTCTAGGAAACCTGGTCTCTAGGAAACCTTGTCTCTAGGAAACCTTGCATCTAGGAAACCTGGTCTCTAGGAAACCTTGTCTCCAGGAAACCTTATATCTAGAAAACCTTGACTCAAGGAAACCTTGTCGCTAGGAAACCTTGTCGCTAGGAAACCTTGTCTTTAGGAAACCTCATCTTCAGGAAACCATATCTGACTGTAGGAAACCTTATCTCTGGAAACCTTGTCTCTGGAAACCAGGAAACCCAATATATTAAAAAATATATATTTAGGAAACCATGTTGTCTGAGATGTGTCCTGATCTTGAATCTGCATTCTGTTTCCCTCACAAGGAACATTTCAAATATAGAAAATGATTGAATAGCTAAAAAATAAACAAATAAGATAGGAGGGGAGGAGGGGCACGCCACTTGGAAGAGGGAGGGGGGTAAGTCCCTTGAAGAAGGGGAGGGAGGCAACAAAACTTTATTTTAACAGACTGAGAACGGTTGAGAACGGTACCTGAAGAAGGAGATATCCCAATTTTTCCAGCTGAAAGCTTAATTGTACACTGCATTCTCCGTGCGAAAAAAAACCCATCGTTTCTGAAGTCATTTAATTTTTCAGTTAGAAAAAAAAGCAATATCACGATCATTCTTTTTCAGACAAATGTATACAGGATCCCAATGTGAATATAACATGCCACTTTACTTTATAAATTCAGCAGACAGACTTTAAATTCATTCTACTGTCTTTGTTAATGGAATGTTTCTATCTGAAACACCTTATTCAGTTTTTGCGAACATTTCTTTTAAAGAGGCAAAAGTTTGAAGCGAAAAAAATTTGAATGAAACTACTGTACAGTACCGGACTATCAACGCAGAGTGTAATAACGTGAAGAACCCAACCTGGGGAATCACTGGTGCAGCATATCTCCGTGTACTGCAGCCTATGTACGAAGACGGTAAGTTAATGTACTTTGTGAGTTGTTAGGTATTTTTACAAAGACATTTCCCAAGGGCGACTTCCTAAGTGACAATTTTCCAAGTGGCAATTTCCCAAATGTGCACTTTCCCAAGCGGCAAATTCCCAAAGCTTATAGGTTAGGCCTTCTGAGGCGCCGCAGTGGGGTCGATCGCTACGGCTAGAATGGGTTAGGTGCCAGCGCTGCGGATAGAAAAGGCAAGGGGGTCGATCGCTGCGGCTAGGACAGACTTGGGAAGATGCCGCTTGGGAAATTGCACTTGCCACTTCGAAAAATACCCTCGGAAAGTTGCCGCAATTGGGAATAAACCTTCGGGAAAATATTTAACATACTTTGTGTACTTCATTAAGCTAGAATTAATTCAAAGAATATATATCAAAATTAGATTTTTAAACGATGATGGTTATTAAAAAGTCCTTTAAAGGGACAGTAGACGTAATTTAATGTGACTCTCCATTTAAAGAGCTGCAGATCAATGCATGTCCGATTTGCAACGGTTCTCTCTAAACCTTCGTCGGAATAAATTAATAAAGAAGATTTTCAGTTTTTTTCTGATTAAAAAAAGATTATTTTCAATTGCAAAAAGTTTTGAATTTATGGGGCAGGGAAGAGGAATAAAATTGACAGAATTAAACATATTTTTAAGGCCAAATGTCAACAAGGTTTAATAGGTCCGTAATAATTCTACATTATATCAAATGTTGTTTGAACCTCCCTGTATTAAATGCCGGAAAAGTATTAAAGATAGAAATAAAATGTGGATGTTTTGACACGGTGGGAACAAAATATCGTGAGGTATTTACAAATGTTTTCTATGGGATGGAATAGCATAATTGTTAGAAAAGTGAATGAATGATTGAATGTAACAATAAAAGGATCAATTAAGGGATAACAGGATGAATGAATAGATTACCTTGAAAAATAAATTCGTCAATAATTGGACCTTTCCCTATGGGGTATGGGGAAAGAGGACTATGAAAGAGAGGGGCATTGTAAAGGGAGTAGACGGCTAGGAAAGGGTGGAGTATAGGTGTTGGCAAGGGAGTAGAAGACTAGGAAAGGGCGCACTATAAGGGTTGGAAAGGGAGTAGAGGACTAGGAAAAGGTGAAGTTTAAGGGTTGGAAAGGGCAAAGGGACGACGAATGAGTTTGAGCAAATTTCTGAAAATATTCAAAATTACAAAACTCCGAAAGCTGCTGTCCTCTTTAAGAATTTATCTATCTATTATAAATATATTTCTATCTATCTATCTTCGGTTCCTGTTGGTTGGTCAGAAATGTAAAGAGATTTGAACTGTTGAATGGAACGGTATCGTAAACTGCCACCAGTTTACATATAGTTTATTTACAATTTACTCATTAGATAATAGATAAGCCATAACTTTACATAACTATTAGTTTATATAACCATGCATCAGACAGTTTACATAAATATTCGATTACATAACTGAAACTTTACATAACTAGAGTTCACATTTCTTACCGCAATTATGTCGCTTGCATTTAGGATAAAATGGTATTAATAAAAATTGTTTTTAATAATCTTTTGGAATTGTTGTTGGAACATATTTTATTTGGATGATTGGATGATCAATAGGTTAGGATTTATCTGATTTTTTTAGAAAATAAGTTTTGGATTTATATAATTTCTATAATAACTAGGATAAATAAAAAAGATTGAAGAAGTTTAAATTAATATTAAATAGAATTTCTTTTAAATAGTATTTGAACAAATAGATAAAGGATCACAGTGATCTACATAATTATGAAAATTATGTATCAACTATTGAGATTGGGCCACCTTTGAAGTGTCTCCGGGCCTTTGTCATTGATTTGTAGCTACGCTTGTGTCCCTGTGTGACATTTAGAGCCAGGTAGGTTGTGTGCTGGTTGACTTTAATAGCGGACATATCGGACCTGGATAGATATGTTTCGAGAACTTGTTATGGAGTAGGTGTTTACTACATACTTGATGTATGGTTTAATGTGGTCCTGTATAAGCTGCAAGGCCAAGTTTAAAGCATGCTGCATGAGACAGGAAACATATTTGAACTAGTAGACTATAGGAAAGAAGATACAAGTGCGAGTACACGGGAATACGGGGATATGGGGATACCCCTTCATTATAGCAGCAGAGGGGTAGTGAGGAATTTTTCCAGGGGGGGATTAAATTTTTTTCCCCTGGGGAGCTCTGCATCCGTTGGGAAATAATGATAATAATAAATTTGACTTTCTCCTTCTGTCCAGTTTGTAGTGGGACTGTCGGTAGTTTAGGGTATGGGAGAAGGACTAATTCTTTTTTCATTTTCTTCTTCTGTTTCAGTTTATATAACTGTACTTAAATGTACACCAAGTTGGACTTTTGATTTTTTCCATTGGTCGGTGGTTGTCGAATAAGTTTAAAAGATATTATAGAATAGCTGGATAACAAATTAGAATGATACCTTACAATTTAATATGTAGGTTAGGTTAGGTTAGGTTGGGTTAGGTTGGGTTAAAGCTGTGAAATAAGAATACGATTGTTCCACTCTAGTTATAAAACACCTCCTTGCTCAGAGAAAGACTTAAAGGGTACTGTTCTTAATCGATCATGCCACTTTATCAATTAAAATAACGTATACAGTCCCTTTAATGCCAAAAATCTTGTTTTTGTCATGATGTTCATACAACAGATTAAGATGCACTATGCAACTCTTTTTAGGAAGCATTTACATCATTGGTTACAATGCAACGAGTTTAGAATACTCAAACACATACTTGGGATACATATACCACAACATAAACTTACATATGACAGCAGGAAGCAAAAACAAAGGGTAGTTCCAAAAAACTTATGATTTGTAATTTTTCCTCATCAAAACTGACAGCATTTGATAAATGAAATAGGGATGAAGATAATGTTAATGGTAGTATTACTTTATATTTTTTATAACTTAAACTAAATCCGTATTTTATTTACTATGTACATAATTGACTTTGACTCATATATATAAATATACGTATATACAGTTGTAACATATAATAACAATAATTATATCACTGCGTTAGAATCATTGAAATGGCACTTCTAATCTTGCAACTGTGTTTAGAAATACCATAATCTTAGAACAAGATCTTATGAAATATTGCTTCTGCAACACCTTATAAATTAGACAATCTAAACAGGCTCATTTATTAACTTCCATCGTCACACCCAGTTATTGGCAACATAATTAAGAAAGTATTTATAGTACTCCTTATTTCAAATTCATGTGTTTATTAGTCAGGATCCTAATATTCAACTTTGTTCTACAATAGTTATGATTGTAAAAAATGTTTAATTTTCTTTCATCTTTGGATTCCGATGGCAAACATTTTATCTTAAGCTTTTGACAAAAACACTTTAAGCCGATGATTTCGATGTTTAGGTAAAAAAAAATAAACACTTTTTTATAAAAACTCCAAATTTTAGCCTTATTCAACCCAAAACAAAACTATTTTGTTACTAGGTGTTGGAACACCCCGTGAATCAGGGTCTACTGGACACCTTCCAGATGCACTTTATGTGTCATCCATGCTCCTCCCTCAAGTAAGTAATTCTTCTTTAGATTACATCCTTTTTTATTTTATTCGAATGAAAATTTTATTTTAACATTACAAATTACATTAAACAGTACATTATCAGAAGAATTCATCATCATTCTTTTCATATTTTCTCGACAGTCGACACCATTTCGGCATCTGTGACTGATTATTAATTATTCTTTTTCTGTAGCGAAGTGTTCCTCATGAACATCTTACTGCGCTGACCGCAATCTGGGGTCAGATGGTATGGCATGATGTCTCCTACACTCTACCAATCTCAGGGTATGCTGACTGCTGTGATCCGATCTCCAGGTAAAAACTAAACATGGTTTGAAAGAATGTGGTCATCATTGATTTACTTAAAAATTTTAATCTTAAATTATATACACATTAATTAATCGTTTATCTAGAACTGAAGAGCATAAGGAGTGTCTTCAGATCATGATGTCAAATTTTACCTGTCAAGCATATGTCAGATCTGCCATTGGATTGAAGCCGGGTTGTCAGCTTGGCCCAAGGTAGGTCTATGTTGTTTCTTAAAAATAAACTGTTCCAAGTTTATGCAGTAACACTAGAATTTTCGAAGATTTTTCTGGTATAATTGAGAATTTCTTTTGAAAAAGTATAATCAAATTATCTCATGACTTCTTAACTTATGAGTGACATTTTTAAATCCTCTGAGGGGTAATTTGAGCTATGCCGAAAAATGAATGCCCAGTCGATTCAGAAAAGGCATATTCACATATAAATAGATGCATGGTGAAAAATAATAACCACTAGATGCACTAAATGCAATAACAGTCAATTATGATAGTTAACCTATTAACAGGCACTATTATATATATATATATATATATTTATTTATGTATATCTTTTTCTTGTGAAGGGTGGGATTGGTTACTAAATTATGAAAACCTAAGGTTGGCAACTTTTAGAACTTGAAAATGTTCATAAAATAGCTGAAAATGCATCTTATCGGGGACGAGATCTGAAACACGGAACAAGGTTCTACGGGAGAAATGGGGGCAGGGAGGGGGGCTAGGGGGGTTGAAGTGGGCCGGGAGGGCAATATAACTTAGTTAAATTGTCCAAGACAAAATCAGTAAAATTTGAGGAAGCACGGGTTTAAAAATACCTTTTTTCGGTAATTTTTTGTATTGCCAGAATCAGGCATTTATGCTTGTTGATGCAGAAACGACTGCATTGAGAATCTGGACCATATCTTGATATCCTGCAATTATAAACAATCATTCTAATTTAACAAATCTACACAAATTCCAGCTTTGAAGACGGGAGGGAAGAAGAGGGGGTGTATGTAGGAGATTTAAACCAATTATCTGATGCCACTAACTTTTCGTATCTTCAATAAAGTTGCAAGTCTCCTAATTCGCAGATCTTCAAACTCTAGACATTTGCACTTTGCAGTATATGCAGGAATATAATGAATGTATTATTACCTTAAACCACTAAAACAAGATGTTTATTACTTTTAACTTCATTATTATAAAAAAAAAACATTCCTGCAGCTAATTGCTGAAATAAGAATGAAGCTTACTTTCAAGTAAGAAACACCAGGAACCTTCATATATTTGTTTACAAACACACTGTACTGCAGTGTGCGACCCATTCTGAATAGCGCTTTGTTATTTACTACATTACTCCCAGAAACTTCAGTACTCAATTTAACAAAGTTGTGGAGGTTCCTAATGTATCTTCCTTGCACCATGAATCATCGAACTTTCCAGACGATACATAGTTGTTAAACTATAGTGAATCATGGGTTATTATTTGGCCATGCAGGTCTAGCAGTCCTAGCAGCAATGGTCAGTACTCAGTATAGTCTGGATTTTCATTGAAACCAAATTACTGTTTTCATTCTTCCTTCCTCACTTGAGTGAATTATTTGCTTGGTAAAATAAATATTGATTTGTTTATATAATGGCTCATTTATGCAAATGATAAGAGCTGCAAGGATGTTTATGAACATTTTGACCCCACATCAGCTGTAGGCATAGACATAGTGTACGCGGAGATCAGCTGACTGGCGAGACCCTGAGTTCCGTTTCGTGGCCTTGGGCCCTGGTAAACCTTCATGGAGAATTGTATACGCGGGCAACAAACATTTTGGGTTCGTGAATACATCACCGTCCAGACATTAACATTTAATAGCATCAGATGCAATTATACAGCGAGAATCAGGAAATAATTTGGAAATAGTTGAATTCACCATCATTGATCTTATCAGACTTTGTAAATCTCAGAATATTTGGAAGTTCATTTATTTCGAGGAGGAGGAGGGGGGGGGGGTCTAAATGATAAATAGAAATCAAAAACCTTTACAGTTGAACAATCAGAATCTTAAATGTAAAATCAAAAGTAAATAATTTTAAAGATTTTTCTTGAGATTTTAAATTTTTTTTTGACTTAAAAGACTAAAAAAGAGTCAAAATTAATGACTACAGACTAAAAAACCAGATTTTTAACTTTTCACACATTATAGTTTAAGACAGATATTTTTCCTGTTTTGCACTAGGGTTTCTTTCCCTTAAGCATGCTTTTGAGAAGCTATTCTGAAAATAGGAACAAAAAATTCCAAATTCAGGGGGGGCGAATGTCCCCCCGCCCCCTCCGTAAGTTTTCTGAAAGTTTTGTTAATACAATTATGATATCAAAATATCTAAAAAAGGCAACATTTCAGTCAAATAGTTTATTTTTTATCTTTTCCACACCATCTACTTAACCCTTTAATTTTATTTAAAAATAAAAAAAATCAAGATATTATTCTTGTCAAAGTTGAAAAAATGTTACCTGAAACTTATTTGCTTTGTTAAATCCCATTCCGGATTCCTGATTGAATACATATACATTTATCACTGAGTGGGCACCTAGTTCAAGAAAGGTCTAAAAACATTTATCATTGAGATAAAAATCTTAATTAGTTAGAATTATATCTTTAACTGTTGCCCAGTGTTAGAGACTCAATTTGTTCACCAAATACGAAAATCTAATTCCGGTATTTAATTTTATGGTTAATTAAACTTATAAAAACTGTTTTTGCCTTATTTTGTTAATATATATTATGATATTTGATAATACAGTAAAAAAATGTAAAAAATGTAAAATGTAAAAAATGTGTAAACAAAACTCGAAAATGTAAAGAATGCTTTTCTTGAGTTATTTTTGGGTCTAATTAAAGGTTTTAAAAAATGACAATCTGTAAGTTTTACGAGTTGTCGTTTCATTATTCTAAGTTTTTTATTAATTTCACTTTAGAATAACTGAAAATTTACCCATTTTTCTTTATTTAGATATTAATTAGCTTTTTTATACGAGGCAATGCATGGTTGGTTGACAGAGGTTGTCAGTTTGCTGTGTAGTGTGTAAAGAGCAAAAAGTGTTAACTAGCGGTTGTTATCTTCAAATATTTTTAATTCCTTTCCATTTAAAGAGTTTGGACTCCTGGCGCCAATGATTATTTATTTAGAGACTGCATTTAATGTTGCATTTCTGACCGCCTGAAATACTAATTAATCATTTGTTAATGTTTACTCTCAAAATTAATAATTAAAATATATTTTGGATTTTAAAGATATTCCCGGGCCCACGACCTTGTCATTCCTGCATATTTAACCCTCTTTCCTCTAATGGGGATTTAAATATTTGGGCCCGAGATCAAATTGAGGCACCAAAGTATTGCCTTGACACACACCAGGAGAGGGAGGGGGATAAAATTCAATTTATTTTTGATGATATGTCCTTAACAAAAACACTTATTTGATATGACCTTTCTATTTCTTTCAGAAGCCGGAATGTGAGAACAAAAAGATTATTTTTATGTTTTTATTGATATCATGATGTTGCCTAGTTGAAAAGGAAGAATTTTAAGCAGTTTGTTAACATTGAGAGCAAAACTAGCCAGAGGGGTACACCTACACAGGGGAGTGGTGGCTATGGGGCTCAGCCCCCCCCCCCACTGGATTAGTAAAATCATTGATTTCCAGAGGGTTTTCAGGCCCCAACGGGTGCTGAAGTTCCCGGAGCCCCACCCTAAGAGAAATTCCTGTGTATGCCTCTGAAAAAAGCCGCATAAGAAAAATGTATTTTTCTTTTTTTAGGGAACAAATGAACTTTGCAACTGCATTTATTGACGGGAGCGCTATCTATGGTTCAACACCAGAATCAGCTGATAAACTCAGAGAGTTCGACGGGGGATTCCTCAAGGTAAAATATGGTCATTTCCTGTCTGTTCTTCTCTGTCTGCTTCTGTTCTTCTCTGTCTGCTTCTCTGTTTCTCTGGTTGTTACTCTGTTTGTTTCTTTTTCTGTGTCTCTGATTATATCTTTATCTGTTTTCTATCTTATTCTTTGTCTATGTTTCTGTCTGTTTCTCCGTATGTTTCTCTGTCTGTTTCTATGTCTGTTTCTCTCTCTGTTTCTCTGTCTGTTTCTCTGTCTGTTTCTCTGTCTGTTTCTCTGTCTGTTTCTCTGTCTGCTTCCTGTCTGTTTCTCTGTCTGTTTCTCTGTCTGTTTCTCTGTCTGTTTCTCTGCCTGTTTCTCTGTCTATTTCTCTGTCTGTTTCTGTGTCTGTTTCTCTGTCTGTTTCTGTTTCTCTGACTATATCTTTATCTGTTTTCCTATCTTATTTTCTGTCTATTTTTCTGTCTGTTTCTCTGTCTTCTTCTCTTTCAGCTTCTCCGTCTGTTTTTCTGTATGTCTGGTTATATCTCTGACTGTTTCTTTGCCCGTTTCTTTTTCTGTTTTTTTTCTGTCTGTATCTCCATCTTTTTCTCCGTCTGTTTCTCTGGCTATTTCTCTGTCTTTTTCTCTTGTATGTTCCTCTGTCTGTTTCTCAATCTTTTTCTCTGTCTGTTTCTTTGTTGTTTCTCTGTCTGTTTCTCTATCTTTTTCTCTATCTTTTTCTCTGTCTGTTTCTTTGTCTGTTTCTCTGTATGTTTCTCATTCTGTTTCTCTGTCTGTTTCTCTGTCTGTTTCTCTGTCTGTTTATCTGTCTGTTTATCTGTCTGTTTATCTGTCTGTTTCTCTGCCTTTTTCTCTGTCTTTTTCTCTCGTCTGTTTCTCTCGTCTGTTTCTCTGTCTGTTTCTCTGTCTAATTCATTGTCTGTTTCTCTGTCTGTTTCTCTATCTTTTTCGTTTTTTGTTTCTCTGTCTGTTTCTCTGTCTATTACTCTGTCAGTTTTTCTCTCAGTTTTTCTGTCTGTTTCTATATCAGCTTTTTTCTCATTTTGCCGGTCTATCTGTCATATCTTTGTCTGTTTGTCGGTCTATCAGGTTCTATATCTGTCTGTTTCTCTGTGCCTTCCTTTCTCTTTTTCTTTGTGTGTTTCACTGTCTGTTTAAATGTCTGCTTCTCTGTCTGTTTCTCTATCTTCTTCTCTGTCTGTTTCTCTGTCTGTTTCTCTATCTTTTTCTCTGTCTGTTTTTCTTTCTGTTTCTCTGTCTTTTTTCTGTCTATTTCTATATCAGCTTCTTTCTCAGTTTCCCGGTCTATCTCTGTTTATTTGACTCTTTCTCTGTGTGTTTCACTGTCTGTTTCTACATATGTCTGTTTTAATTTCTGTTTCGCTGTCTATATCTCTTTCTATTTCTATGACTGTCTATTTGTTTCAATGCTATATTTTATCTTTTAACTTGCATTTTCTGTATCCACTATCCTCTAGTACCTGTATGTCTGTATCCAGTATCCTCTAATATCTGTATGTTTATATCCAGTATACTCTAGTATATGTTTGTATGTGTCCAGAGATGGGAACTTTTGAATGGGGGTATACTTAATCCTGATCGGATAATTAATCTGGAGATTAAAAATGAGTGGAGAACAATCAATATTTAATCTGCAGATTAAGAAAAAGAGTGGATTAAGCCTTAATCCCGATACCCACCATTCTAAAGTTTTCAGCTCTGTATTCTTAAGTATCTATATGTCTGATATCCAGTATCCTCTAGTATCTGTATTTGTGTATCCAGTATTCAATAACTGTATGTCTGTATCCAGGTTCCTCTGGTATCTGTATGTCTATATCCATTATCCTTTAATATCTTTATGCCTGTCTCCAGTATACTCTAGCATCTGTATGTGTGTATCCATTATATCCTAGTATCTGTATGTTTGTATCCAGTATCCTCTAGAATCTATATGTCTGTATCCAGAAAACTCTATTATCTGTATGTCTGTATCCTGTATCCTCTTTTATCTGTATGTCTGTATTCAGTATCCAGTATCTGTATATTTGTATCCAGAATCATCTAGTATCTGTATGTCCGTATCCAGTATCCTGTATCCTCTAGCATCTGTATGTCTGTATCCAGTATCCCCCAGTATCTGTATGTGTTTATTCAGTAACCTCAAATATCTGCACGTGTGTATCCAGTTTTCCCTAGTAACTTTATGTCTGTATCCAGTATACTCTAGTATCTGTATGTGTGTATCCAGTATTCAATAACTGTATGTCTGTATCCAGTATTCTTGTATCAGTATTTCTGTATCCAGTATCCTTTAGTATCTGTATGTCTTTATCCAGTATCACCTAGTTTCTGTATGCCTGTATCCAGTATCCTCTAATGTCTGTATGTGTATACCCAGTATCCCCTAGTATCTGTATGCCTGTATCCAGTATCCTCTAGTATCTGTTTGCCTGTATCTAGTATCCTCTAGTATCTGAATGTCTGTATCCAGTATCCTGTAGTATATGAATGCCCGTATTCAGTATTCTCTAGTATCTGTATGTGTGTATTCAGTATCAAGTATCTGTATCTCTATATCTAGGTGGATGCTGGTAATCTGTTACCGGAAGACGACTACAACCCGAACTGTAGACCGGAACAGCCAGATAGCAGCGCCTCTAAATGCCTCAGGTTAATAAACACATTCCAGTGTAGGTGGGGGGAGGGGGGGGCGTGGGAGGAAGGGGGATTTTCTAGTTTCTTTGGGCATAGGGGAAGAAAGGAATTTCAGATTCATAAAAGGTTTATAAATCAATTTATTTGATACTAGGGATGAATAAAAATATTTAGATCTAGGAATAAAAATGCTAACTGAAACTTGAATCAACACATATAGATCTAGGACTGAACAAGCTGACTAAAACTTTAATCAATATATCTAGATCTGGTGATGAACGAGTAAACTTTAATGCTGGATTAGCTTCTCTCCATACTGTACTTGTGAGAGAGCATAATAGGTACCGTACAGTACAATACATATCTAAAGAAATACAAATAGTGGGACTCATAAAATTGTGAAATAGGTAGACAACTTTAAAGCAATGTTATTTATATTTGATGCTATTATAAAGCAAATAGTTTTATAAGTGAAAATCAACTAGTGAGATGGGTTTGTGTATACTGCACAATAACGGAGTTTCAAGATTATTGAACTAAAATCATAACTTGCGTCTAACGAGTTTCTCCCTACAATCCGCAATTCTTTTGAACCCCTCTGTAGAAAAAGAATAACATCATCATTTAAAATATTTTTAGAATTGCCTCTCTGTTAGAAACTGTGAATCCACATTGGGACGAGGAAACACTGTACCAGGTATGTACTTTGTACAATACATTGTTCATATATTGTACAATAGAGTACGTTCACGCTTAAATATGTACATTAAAATATATGCTTCTGACGCTTTGCACAAACATACAGTTTAGCATTCTTTATACATAACATTTATGTAATTTACACTTTGTTATATTACAGAATAGACTAATGTGTTTTATTTAATGTATAATAGAACATTTCTCAAAAAAAGAATTACACACTGATGACATTTATTTCTGTGATTTAGGAATCTAGGAAAATTCTTGGAGCGCAGATTCAACATATAACTTATAATGAGTTCCTACCCGCAATACTAGGTGATAATATATTTGGTTTGGATTTTGGTGGCCATTTTAAATACATGTATTTGGTTTGGATTTTGATTTCCATCCTATTTATTTAGTTTGGATTCTGGTGGCCATCTTGAATTCATGTGTCTGGTTTGGGTTCTGTTGGCCATCTTGAATAGATGATATTTGGTTTGGATTCTGGAGGCCATCTAGAATCCTTATTTTTGATTTGAATAATGATTGCCATTTTGATTTTGATATTTTTACAGGAGAAGTTCTGACTGAAACATTTCAACTTAAATCCAAGGTAAAACAAACGTTGAATTAGAAGAAGTATTTGATTTGCAAAAAATAGTTAAAAAATGAAAAAAAATTTAAGAAACGCATATTTTTAATATATTTATTTCTAGGGAAACGGTTACCACATGGGATATAACGATGAATTGCCTGCAACTACTCTTAACAGTGTTGGGAATGCAGTTCTACCTTTCATCCTTTCCCTTCTACCCTCTAGCTTAGCCTTCTATACACCAGTAAGCAATATATTCATCCTTTCATCATTTCCTTTCTACCCTCTAGCTTAGCCTTCTATACACCAGTAAGCAATATATTCATCCTTTCATCCTTTCCCTTCTACCCTCTAGCTTAGCCTTCTATACACCAGTAAGCAATATATTCATCCTTTCATCATTTCCTTTCTACCCTCCAGCTTAGCCTTCTATGCACCAGTAAGCAATATATTCATCCTTTCATCCTTTCCTTTCTACCCTCTAGCTTACCCTTCTATACACCAGTAAGCAATATATTCATCCTTTCCTTGTAATACATAGTAGGACAGGACTAATAAAACTGTGGAATAAGAAGACGACTGTAAAAATTAAACTTTGATTTTAAATAGTTGAACGAGAATGAAACACAGAAATTGTTGATTTTTGATTTATTTTTGCTTCGTAACAACATCAAATACGATTGCTGTAATATCTTCTTCCTATTCCACAGTTTTATGGGTCCCACTGTAAAATGAATAAATAGAATGTATCCTAGGGTGGAGAGAAGAAATCAACTGTTTTATTCAACTCCACCTACTGGGCCCCTTTCTCCGCCCATGACCAAGCTACTGTACAGGTACTTAACAATCACGCCCTCTTTACCTAAAATAAGCCCCGCCCCCAGTGCAGCTGCTACCGTATTTAACCTTGTTATAACAAAGTTTTAAATTAATATTTTGATAGAAGATTTTATCTCCTCCATGTTAATTTAATTTGATTTCCTTGAAGAATTGCAGGATTAGTTACCCTTGCTTAGCTCAACAAATAGTCAGCTAGAAATCTTTTATTTGAGAGGAGTAGTTAAACAAGCCCTGCCTGGGGGAACTACTTCTTATTCGCTGGTTTCACGTTGATTTCATACTCGGTTCTTATCCCAGCAAGCTGTGATAAGGACCGCAAGCTGTGATAAGGACCGCAAGCTGTGGCTTTCGATCTTAATTTGACTTTTTGAGTATAACTTTTATCATTTTCTCTGTTTAGCTTTTGTGTCTTTAAGATTTAAAATTATAAAAAGAAAACTCCGTAAGTTTAAAAACCAAAACGCCGTTTAATGATAAAATAGTAGAAACCGAATGCATCTCACTTTGAAAGGTTTATACAGGGTGTTCTGGTTTTATTTGATCTGGGTGTCACAAAATAGAAGTATTTGAACCAGCCATGGCTTGTTCGTTTACTTCTCTTTCTATCGTAAATCTGGATAAAGACAACATATAAGTACAATGGTCGGCGGTTATATCAATACAATGAAGACGATTTTTTATTAATAATGCCTTGATCCCTAACACGCATTTTTCAAAAGTAAAGAAAGAGAAACTGTAAATTGACAACTTATCTTTGTTTGCATGTTTTTGTATCTCTTGATAGAAAATTGAAATAGAAAGTCGTCTTCATTGTATTGAAATATACATCGACGATATCACAAAAAAAATAATGTTATTAAATATAACAATAACAATGGTAATAATGATAACAATGATAATAGTAACAAATGTCTTGTTTTATTATAATAATAAAAATAATAAAAATGATAACAATGATAACAATGATGATAATGATACCGGTGACTAGGAACTACTGATTGGACTGGTAAACACCAAGGCTGAGAAGGTTGATCTCAATATTGCTCCAAACACAAAGTTCTGTAAGTTTATGAATTACATAATTATCTATTTATCTGTCTTTCTATATATCTATCTATCTATCTATCTATATACATATATATCTTTCTACATATATATATATGTATACATATCTACCTATCTATATATCTATCTTTCTATCTATTTATCTATCTATATATGTATCTTATATATCTATCAATCTGTCTAGCTGTCTAGCTGTCTATCTATCTGTCTATCTATCTGTTTAACTATGTATCGATCGATCGATCTTTTGTACTATCTATCGTTATATCTATCTCTCTAACTAACTAACTAACTATCTATCGTTATATCTATCTCTCTAACTAACTAACTATCTATCGTTATATCTATCTCTCTAACTAACTAACTATCTATCGTTATATCTATCTCTCTAACTAACTAACTATCTATCGTTATATCTATCTCTCTAACTAACTAACTATCTATGTATATATCTATCTTTCTCTCTAACGAACTAACTAACTATCTATCTATCTTTAAATATATCTATCTATCTATCTATCTATCTAGATCTGCAGCAAGACAAGATGGCTGATGTAATCCAAGCTGGGAGAGATCATGGACTTCCAACATATACTCAGGTATAGGGAAACAAATACTGGTGCGCCTTTGCTACCTCGTATATCCTCTAGTTTACACAGAAGAGTGGCAAAAGCAACATTTTTCATCAAAAGCTCTTCTGAGTAATACCAAGATGTCTGACACACCAAACTGAATTAAATATTGATTTAAAATGTGTGTAGGTTCGAGAATACTGTGGTCTACCGAATGTTGATAGTTTCTCCGGACTGAACAACACAATCACAGAGGAGAACATAGCTTTACTCCAGGGGGTTTACCAGCACCATACAGATATAGATCTACTCCTTGGAGGTCTAGCTGAGCGCCCTCTTTCAGGTTAGAAAATAATCAACTTTTTAAAGGGTGTGTTCCCGAAATAAAAACAGGTTCCTTTAAAGGGTACCTCTGCTATTTTTGAAAAGGCATCCTAGGTGAGCAAGAATTGAGTCAGTTGGTAATGAATGTGGATCCCATTTTTCTTGTGTTATTAGAATAACAGGATATTTACTTTTACTTCTCATTACTTATAACTGCGTAAAAAGCTGGTTATAGAAAATTGGATTAACCATGACAGACTAGTAATGTTAATTGTTTGAACTGTTTTTATAAAAAATTAATAAAACTCGCAAAATATTAAAATTGTTTAACGTTAAAGTTTGGTTTTATTAAACTTTTCGATATATTTATCTAAAAAACGATTCAAGAACGATTTAAAAAAAACGATTTGGATCGTATTTAAATCGTTTATTGTACATATTTTCTGCCAATGTTAAAAATTCGACATGCCTAAAATTTAAAAAAATTTTAAAAACATTTCCTTTCCTAACGTTATGCCAATTTTTACCCTGAAAGAAAATTATGCAAAAAAACAAGGCGAAAACGAACCAGCCCTGAATGCACATCCCTAACCATGACTACGAGATTTTTATAGGTTTTCCTACAATTTTTTCTTATTTTTTTCTTTCGGATTCAGAACCTCCCCCAAACTATTTATTTTTAAAAAAATTATATTTTTAATACTTGAATTTCTTCTGTAAAAAGTTGTAAGCAACGTTGCTTGCAAGTCACTGTTCTTGAAGGTCCATTGCTATTTTGGACGCAGTTCGCAGATTATTTAAATAACAATCATTGCATAAATTATGCACTAAATTCATAATCAATTTAAAGCATAATGTTTACAATGCTTTGTTTTAACAAGGAAATATTAGTTGGTTCAAGCAACAAAAACAAATTAGTATTTTAAGAAAATTGAACAATTCTATAAAAATATTTTTTTAATGCTTTTATAACGCTTGAAACACGACACCCTAGTATTTTTGTAAAATCATAATTTTCAGTTATGATGTATTGTACGGGTATTGTTTTGGTATTTTTATTTTTAATGTTAAAAGAACTGGAGGGGGTTGGGTTTTTAATAAAAGTTTGAGTTTGAAAAAGTTATTCTAATATTTTGTACTTGGAACTTAAAACCCACCTCAGCTAGTTTGACATTACATTTGGAGTTACAAAAATGTCAAATCACATTTGGAAGCTCAAAAATGTATATATCACATACTACACAGACTGCTCATGCACTCTACCTGGATAGGCTGAGCAGGCATATAGTGTCCCGGCACGCCATGCTACGGTTCATGTAATGTTTTTTGACTGACATCTCACTTGTTGCATTCAGGGGTTACAACTTTTAAAGAAATACTCCAATTTCAAACATAAAATGATAAAACATAACATTGTCTATTTTTAAAGATTTTGCAATTCCTATTCAAAGTATCCTTAAATATCCCTGATTAAAGATGTCTCCTGATTGGTCGTGTACAGTCCTGGCACACAATAGAACATGCTGTGGAAAATATCGCATATTATAGGTGTTAATCGATCTCTGTAACTCTCTTATCTCTGGTCTAAATAAATCACATTTTGCGACGAAATAGTTGATATAAGGGATATTCCACCTATCCTATGCTAACCAGAAGCTGAAATAGTTGATATAAGGGATATTCCACCTATCCTATGCTAACCAGAAGCTGAAATAGTTGATATAAGGGATATTCCACCTATCCTATGCTAACCAGAAGCTGAAATAGTTGATATAAGGGATATTCCACCTATCCTATGCTAACCAGAAGCTGAAATAGTTGATATAAGGGATATTCCACCTATCCTATGCTAACCAGAAGCTGAAATAGTTGATATAAGGGATATTCCACCTATCCTATGCTAACCAGAAGCTGATAAATAAAGAAAGGAGAGAGTAAATTTATGCAACTTTACTGGGACGACATTGTGACCTCAAGCTCCTCTAGTTAGTTTACGCGCAAGTATTAGAAGGGCAAATTTATTTGGTTTAATATTAGAAATTCAGAATGTTTTTTATTTCTCTCAATAGCTTATCAAGAAAATGAGTGATGGTCAAAAACACGTGAGGTTTCAATCTAACGTTGAATTTACTTAAGTTAGACGAGTTCGAAATGAAATATTTCTATTTTTGTCAGAGCTAGTTGTAATAAATATAGTTTGGTCGACTATAAGATAAAAATAATATGATGCTTTTCTTTATAATAAGATGATAAGATGTGTCGAATATGAGAGGAGGAGATCTAGATTTAATAAATAGTTCTATGTACATACTTCTATATTTGAAATTCTAGAATAAATTTGCGCATTTGTGAGAACTCCGCTGTGAATAGGAGGAATAAAACTTTAATTCCTGAATTACAATTATTAAAGATTTCTGAATAAGGTTGGATACATAAATATTGTAAATAGAACGATATTACAAATTGTGTTTAATTAACTTTATGCCGTTAATCAAATCTGTCCGTTTGTTTGATTCTTCATGAAGATTTATTTTCAAACAAAAATTCATAATTTGATATTTTTCAGAACTTAAACATTGCACAATTTGTTATTGTGTCGTAGTTTTCACGCCGCAGAGGCGTTTGTTTGTTTGTATGTATTTACAAGCAATGATTATTACCAATATGGTTTGCTACATTTGATTTCTATAAAAGAATTTTTTGAAAATTAGTTTAAACTTTTAGGAGCTGTTGTCGGACCGACTTTTGGTTGTCTTCTGGGTCAACAGTTTCAGATTCTCAAGCTAGGAGATAGATTCTGGTATGAAAACAACATCCCACCCTCAGCATTCACAAAAGGTAAAAAAAAAAAAAAAATGTGAAAATATTTTTAATAGTTTTTTTTATGATTCGAAGTGACATTACACGTCGGGAAGGAATAAAGACAAGAAACCAAAGTACTGAAAGCTTATCAAAAGATTAAGAATTATTTTTACAATGCATTTTTTAAAAGTTTTTTTTAAAAAGATAAATAAAAAATTATTTTAATAGATATGCAGTGTCATTTTTTTTTAATTTCCCACTGTAAAAAATACTTTGGAATTCAATATTGATAAAAAATATTTAATGTGAAAAAGAGTGAAAAAAAGTAAAAAAAAATTGCTAATATTTGGTGATGAAATAAAAATGATGATATAACAGACTTGAAGAGGAGCAGAATAGGAAGCAGACTTCGAGTGCAAATATGACTGAAATGACATTGCAAATTGTGAAGGGTTCTTGCAAAATGAATTATCGTGCAAAAAGTTGCATTTATGTCCATTTCACGTTGCCACTCCTGTACTTTGGGTAGAATTGGGGTTGTTTTTATAATAGTATAAACTGGGCGGTTTGGTTTGATTTTAGTTTAGTTTGGTTTGATTTGGTTTAGTTTGGTTAAATTGGTTTGGTTTAGTTTAGTTTGATTTGGTTTGGTTTGGTTTGATTTAGTTTAGTTTAGTTTGGTTTGGTTTAATGTAGTTTGATTTTGTTTACTTTAGTTTAGTTTAGTTTGGTTTGGTTTAATTTTGTTTGGTTTAATGTAGTTTGGTTTTGTTTACTTTGGTTTGGTTTAGTTTGGTTTGTTTACTTTGATTTGATTTATTTTGGTTTTGTTTGGGTTTGTTTGGTTTTGTTTACTTTGGTTTGGTTTAGTTTACTAGAACTAAAAAATTATGAAAAATTTGACTAAACTACGAATTTGATTACTGTTATCTAAAAACGAAAAAATTTTCGTTTTAATTTTTATATTTTTATATTTATATTTATATTTATATTCTGCAAAGAATTTCAAAAATTAATAATAACGCCAATATTTTAGATCAACTGCAAGAATTGAGGAAAGTGAGCCTAGCCTCCATGCTTTGTGAGAATCTGGACTCCGTGTACATGGTTCAGGTACTGTACAATTTACTTTATAGATAAACAACTGTACATAGTTCAGGTACGGTGATATTTACTTTTCATAAAAACAACAGTACGTGTTCCAGATCGGTACAATTTACTTTAGATTTCTACTAACCTCAATTATCAGACATGGTAAAATTTTACTTATTATCTGTACTGTTTACAACTGTACATGGTCCAGATACGGGGTTACCCACAAAGGATGAGACTGTAAAGACGACCCAATACTCTAAAAATATGACGATTTAAAGCTTGATTTTTGGTTTCTGCATTTAATTGAGTATTTTGATGGTTTACTAAATGGTCAAGCAAAGAAATATGCCAGTTTTGGCCTACAAGGATTTCCGTACAAACGTCTCCGATGTCTGATCCTTTGTGGGTAACCCTGTTAATAAAATTTTACTTTCTGTCTATGGTTTAGGAACTTTTTAATTTCACTTTAAAGCTGTACAATCCAGATTCGAGACAAGTATACTGTACCGGTACTGTACGGTACATAGAATGCATGCCACAGAAGATATATTTTATAAAATTTCGTGATGTTGCATGCTAACTTCATTAATTAACTTATTACTTGAATATAACATAAACAATGTCATAGATTCATTAAAGTAACACACACAGAACACTAGATGTTGTCTTTTCAAGATTTAAGAGTTTTTTCTGAGATAGGAGCCCAAAGGAGCTACGCGCAGTCGGCGTAGAATTGCAAGACAGAGAGAGTACGTTCTACGCGCGCCGACAGCGCATAACTCCTTTTGCCTCAGGTTTATTGTGAACAAAAAACTCCTAAATCTTGAAAAGATGACATTTTAATGAATCTATGGCAATATTACTGTTTTTTTACAAATCATTTAAATATATTTTTGTAGCCGGACGTGTTTATTTCCCGTGACCCCTACCTCAACTCCCCGGTGACCTGTGATGTTTTCCCGCGGATTAATATTGAACTCTGGAAAACAGATTCACCCGCTCTCCAGGTAAGACGGATAAAAATATTCCGCCATTTTCTATTCAGCAGGTAACAGGGTACATTTTTGCGGCTCTGATAAAACTATTGAGTGGCTCGGAGGAACCATGCCTTCTCTTTCCCTAAGTGTATTATTATTATAATGAATTTTTAAAATATCTGAACGTAAATTGTTTCATTTATTAACACCAGAGAATTTTGTGTCAGGAAAAATATTCGAATTCTTCAAATTTACAATTTACATCCTTTTTAGTAATTAACACGAGAGACGTTAAACCTGAAACACCAGGCCTCACCTCGCCAATATACTGGAAATATTTGAGTTTAATTTCTATTCCTGTTTCCTTTCTGTCCTCCCTTCCTTCCTTCCTCCCTTCCTTTAGCAGTTTCCATGTTCCTTGTTTCATTCATTTTTTATTTCCTCCATGTTTCTCTTTATCTTCTTCTTTTTCCCGGCTCAATGCTTTTCTTTCTTTTCTTTGCTTACTTTTCTTCCTTTTCTAGTTTTAATATTTAACTTTCTTCTTTTTCTAGTTCTCTTGTTAGATTTTCTTCCTTTTCTAGTTTTCAGGTTTGACTTCTTTTTTTCTAGCTTTCTTGTTAGATTTTCTTGCTTTTTTAGTCTTCTTGATTGATTTCCTTCCATTTCTAGTTTTCTTGTTCAATTTCCTTCCATTTATAGTTTTCTTGTTCAATTTCCTTCCATTTCTAGTTTTCTTGTTTAATTTTCTTTCTTTTCTAGTTTTCTTTTTCAATTTCCTTTTTTCTAGTTTTTATGTTTAATTTCCTTTCTTTTCTAGTTTTCTTGCTCAATTTCCTTTCATTTCTAGTTTTCTTGTTCAATTTCCTTTCTTTTCTAGTTTTCATGTTTAATTTCCTTTCTTTTCTAGTTTTCTTGTTTAATTTTCTTCCTTTTATAATTTTCTTGTTCAATTTCCTTTCTTTTCTAGTTTTCTTGTTTAATTTTCTTCCTTTTATAATTTTCTTGTTCAATTTCCTTTCTTTTCTAGTTTTCTTGTTTAATTTTCTTCCTTTTATAATTTTCTTGTTCAATTTCCTTCCTTTTCTAGTTTTCTTTTTCAATTTCCTTCCATTTCTAGTTTTCTTGTTCAATTTCCTTCCTTTTCTAGTTTTATTGTTCAATTTCCTTCCTTTTCTAGTTTTCTTGTTAAATTTCCTTTCTTTTCTAGTTTTCTTGTTCAATTTCCTTCCTTTTCTAGTTTTCTTGTACATTTTCCTTTCTTTTCTAGTTTTATTGTACATTTTCCTTTCTTTTCTAGTTTTATTGTACATTTTCATTCCTTTTCTAGTTTTCTTGTTCAATTTAATACTTCTCTAATGTTTAATTTTGATTTACATTATTTTTTTTCCATTATTTGTTTTACTTTTTTCTTTTCCTCTTAAACTACCTTCTATTAGTTTTGTTTTTTTCTTTCTTCGATTGCATAACTTTTTATGGATTATTTCATTTTTATTTCGTAATATCGTCATGTAATACTTCCTTATGTACGATGACTTTTGTTTCATAAAAACAATTTTCTTTAAGAGAATGATTATGAACTTTTAAAGGGGGGTAAAAGGATGAATTATTTATTTATGATATAGGATTTGATCGGTGTTTATTTATTTTGAATTTAGAAAAACCAAATCAGGATAAAAATAGAACAGAGGTACGTCGATAATTATAATTGAGAGAGTGGTAGTTCAACTACTTTTGTTATGACAGATGGTTCCATTTAAAAGGTAGCTCAACAAGTGTTCAACTATTTCTTGTTATTCATAAATTTCCAACATCGATCATTTCAAAATATTTATTTCGTTCTCTATACTCTCCTTCAAAATTCCGAACACTCTCAACTTAAAGATATTTTCCATCTCACTCTTGTCATGCCCGGCATTTATCAATACTTCCTATTTATATATTTCAGTTTTTTGTTAAGAAGCGTAACGACCCCCCCTTTGCCACCCCCCCCCCTGGAGGGATGGTTCAAAGATTACGGAAATATTAAATGGTTTTGCACAAGCGTGACAAAACAGAAAAACAAGATCAGTTCTGCGAAAATATTTGCTGTACATTTACCTGAAGTTCAACCAAATGCTTTACATAGTAAACGTACATAATGTTTGTACTTTTAAGTTATGTACAGTTGAAAAGGTTTAACGAGTTTATTTCAAAAAGGATTTAACGTTTTTAATTTTTAAAGTTTGTAAATCAAAATTGATTTTTAAAATAAAATTATATTATTTATATTTGCCATGATAAAATAGACACCTTATCTTTTATTTTGACTTAAGGTTAATTTTTAGTGTAAGATTGTCAAAGCCTTTGCACTTTCAACAATTAAAAAAAATAAAAATACATTTTTATCATAGACCATTGGAGATAACATCTTAATTAGTTATGGTCGGGAAATAATTATTTTAAAAATAATACATGTCGATAACGAAACATCAATATTTTTAAAAGAAATTCTCAAATTTTATGATGTCACCACCTTTCTAGGTTCCCGAGGCAATCCTGATCCAGACTTTGAAGAAAGGAACAGAAGGTCTAGCACAGAGAAGGAAGGAGGAACACCATCTCTGGACTAGAAGTAAGTTCTCAATCTCAACATTTTTGTGTGTTTTTTTGATTGTTTTTTATTACATTCTCGTTTTAAAACTTTATAAAGGATTAACTAAATTAGTATTTTACAAAACTGAATATTATAAAAGTTTTCTACTCTTTCAATATTTTCTTCCGACAGAAAATGAAAAAATATTTTGAAAAAATGTTTTAATAATATTTTCTGATTTTGCATCTAAAGAAGGGAATCTTTTTACAAATTATTAAGGTTGAGTGTATTATTACGAAATGTATGATTTTTGGTGTGGCTTGGTTTGAGTTTTGAACGAACGAAAGATGTTTTTTAACTGTTCTTGAATGTTGACAAATGATAACCTACAATCGACAAAGTAAAACGGATCTTTTTTAACCCATTCATTCATACTTTTTGTTGATAATATATATAAAATAATAAAATTTAATTTCTAGATATGGGAGCTCACCCTAAGTCTGCCCAGGGTACGGCGTTTGGGTTCAGTAAACCCACAAGGGAGGCCCTCCTACTGTCAAACACTTCACTTCTTCTAGAATACACTTCAAGGGTCTTCATCGACTCACTTCAAGAGTAAGATCATTTTAGGATAAAAATTAGAAAACAAATACAGGGTGTCCCACTAAACGTGATGTTTTTTTTAGTAGAAGCGAAGGCAATGTCGTCTTCATTAAATTTATTGAGGCATTATTTCGAGAATCTTTTTTTTTAAATTAGGAATCTTAAAATTTATTCTGCCTTGGCATTTCAAATATGTGATCTGTCTTTTAAGTGCCTGCAATATTACGGGAGGTATTTAGAAATTCGTGAAGATTTCAAATTGTTTAGAAAAATCTAAATTGTTCAAAAATAAATACCTGTATGCTTTATTAACGAGAGCACTCTGTTATTAAATGGTCACCTTAAATACAAAAGACAAAAGAGGCGAGCATAAAGGTTTTGGTTCTGAAGTAACCTAACCTCGTCTTTACATATGATTTATAAATTCTAACCTTAAAATACCTATTACTTCAGGCCCCGGAACCAGCGAATTAAACGTCAAGTTAGCAACGAATTCGACGGAAATAATCTGAACAGTATCGTTAACGTGAACGAGTTCGCCAACGGTTTAACGAACATTGACGTAACAAGAGTTGTCAGTACAGGTAATGATAATAAAATTAGTTTTCATGTTTTTTCTATCTGATTTGTGTTTTAAACATTTTTGTAAAAATCGTTTTATTTGAAGAAACGATTATCAAAAACGAAAAACCTCCGCACGGCAAAATCCGGAAATTGAATTATTTAGTGCCAACCGGAAGTTTGGCACAGTGTGCTAAAGAAGAAAATCATTCACCTTGCGATCATACCTATAAGTACAGGTATTAATTTTATTATTATTATTATTATTATTATTATATTATAATATATATATATATGTATGCCTAGAACGTTTAATGGTTGGTGTAACAACTTGAATAATCCTCGCTACGGGAAAAGTATTTCTCCATTGCTTCGATTCCTCCCTGCTCAATACGATGACGGTAAAAAAAACTTTTTTATATTTATTTTTTCTTATTTCAAATTTTTTCAAATTGAAATTTCATCAAGCTAATTTGTTTATTGTTTAGCGATTTCTCGTCCCCGATTCCGATCTGTCGGCGGTAAACCGCTGCCGTCTCCCCGCCTTGTCTCTATAGTCGTTCACGCCGACGTTTCCCATCTTCATTCAAGGTAAATAGTTAGAGATAACTTTTTAAACGGGGTTTTGATATATTTTAAAAAGAGGGAGTGGAATGAGTTGATGATATAAACTATTTTTATCCCAAATAAAACATATCTAAAAAATGGAGGAAGTGCAGGATTTTCTTGAGCAGAAAAGACATTGAACTTTCACATTAATTATTTCATCAAAGAAATAAAGTTTATCTTTAACTTGAAAATATTTAGTTTCTTTTCCTTACGATTCTTTAACATTGATTACAATTTAGTTATTAAATCTGACATGGACTGGGACTTTAACATTGATTACAATTTAGTTATTAAATCTGACATGGACTGGGACTTTAACATTGATTATAATTGAGTCGGTTTTTAGATTTAAAAGTGTTTTATTCTGACATGTTCCTCCATTGTTACTCTAGCAGATTCAGCAATTCACTTTTATTAAGGAACAACAATTGAAAATAATCAATCTTCAAAGTTAAAAACATGGATATCTTGGTCATTATTCATCATTCATACATTCATCAAAGCTTACCAGGGTACCAATGGGAGTTGGACATGCTACTCTATGAATGTAAGCTGACTTGAAATTACGTTTACAGTCCCTTAATACGGTTTCTGTGTGTTCTCTGTAATTCATGATTACTCTCTGTTTGTATTGAAGTTCTATTCATCAAGTTGAAGTGTCATTTTAACACGTTTTTATTCTCTCCTACTAATACAGTATAAACTATATACACTATACACTCGTGAAATTAGACAATTTCTCGCATTCATATCTACAGTGTTAGGTGTAGAGTGTAGAGGGTACACTAAAACCAAAGTTTATAGAGACAGTACTTCATAAAGTGTCAAATTTTTCTTGATTTTATCTTTAAAAGTACTCGATTTCTTTTCAGTAACCGTTGACAGAAAAGGGGATAATTACTCTTTTCTTTATGCTCTAATTTTCTTTTCCCCCTTGTATCTTTGCAATTTGATTTTTCTAAATATTAATTCTGACAGATAATACAAAGTTTGAAATATGAAAGATATAAACCATCAGGTTGCAAAGATATAGTTATTAGAAATGTATCGTTTCTGGCGGACAATCAATTCCTTCCCGTTTTCACGTTTTATAGAGCCTACAGGGGGGGGGGTTACGAATAGAATTAGTTATCTTAAGATTTAGCTTTTTAAAATAAAAATTAATATAATTCTGTTGTCCTATCTCTGTGATCTGTAATTCCTATACTTGTATTGAATTTCTGCGTCATGTCTATGTAAACATGTCCTTGGGGCCCTAGATTTACGCAAATATATTTTCCTTTGGCCCCTTGATTTACACAAATACATTTTTATTTGGCCCCTTGATTTTCATACATATATTTTCATTTGATCCCTTGATTTACGGAAATATATTTTACTTTGGCCCCTTGATTTTCACAAGTATATTTTCATTTGGCCCCTTGATTTTCACAAATATATTTTCCATTGCCCCTTGATTTTCACAAATATATTTTCCATTGCCCCTTGATTTATCACAAATATATTTTCCATTGCCCCTTGGTTTACGCAAATATATTTTCCATTGCCCCTTGATTTTCACAAATATATTTTCCATTGCCCCTTGATTTTCACAAATATATTTTCTTTTGTTCTTAATTTTATTCAATAATAATAATAATAAACATAATACTTTTTGCTAATCCAGAAAGGTATTTTATAAATAAGGTTTTTACTAAAACTTTCTATACGTTTTCTGGATCAGTTAAACTTTACAATCTGTTGATTCAGAATATCTTTTATCATCTTTACAATATTTTTTAGTTATTACTAATGATTATTTATTATTAGATATACCTTGGCTCTGATGCAGTTTGGACAATTTCTAGATCACGATCTTACACTTACACCAGTTAATAAGGAGAGTTAAATTTCATTTGATTATCATTATTGTTTATATTATTATTTAAAAAATCTTTTTTTTTAATTATTTTACACATTTTCATTGTTAATTATTGTAAAACTCAATTTTTTTCTTAAATTACTAATTTAGTTAAGTTCATTTTTTAAAATCTTATTTAATATTTTGAATGAGGTTTCGTGATTTTATTACAGCAAAAGCTAGATGATAATTCTTGTCTTCTTCTTTTTCCTTTTCATCAAAACTAATGCTAAAGATGTTATAATTTGCATTCGCGCCATTTTTAAAAAGTGCCCTTATAATTACTCTTATTATCATTATTATTATTATTATTATTATTATCATTAAAAACTGGTTTAAACTGTTTTCAAACTGTTTTTAAACTGTTTTCAAACTGGTTAAAACTGTTTTTAAACTGTTTTTAAACTGGTTTAAACTGTTTTTAAACTGTTTAAACTGTTTTTAAACTCTTTTTAAACTGTTTTCAAACTGTTTTTAAACTGGTTTAAACTGTTTTAAACTGTTTTAAACTGTTTTAAAACTGCTTAAAGTCGTTTATAAGGTTTTTAAAATCGATTGTTTGAACTTGATCCTGATAATGAGACTCCTTGCAAGGTTTGAATAACGTTGTTTCCTGTTCTGAAAAGTGCATTTTTCTTATTCCTTCCTGCCATAAAATGAAACCCCAGTTTCCTTTTCCGTTTTCTTTAAATTCTGCGAAGAGAAAAAGTTCAACCTAGAAAAGAAATTAATCATCATTGTTAAAAATGTTGTCAGATTTGAACTAAAATTAATAAACTAACTAAGTAAGAGTTTCTAGGTCTCCCTTTTACTACGGTAACCCCACTAAAAGGGACTGTAAACATTAATTTCAGTAATTCTCGAATTAAACAGTTGTCAGTTCGAACCACAACAAGATCGAACCCTTAAACATTTATAATAATGCTGCTCCACAAATTAAGAAAAGCCAAAAATGAAAATTACTATTTTTTTCAGATAAAATAAACTATCTTCATGGATTTAACGGGTTTAAGTAAATTTAAATAGGTTTAAAAAGGAGAGTCACTAAAAATTGCCCCAACAGTCCCTTCATAAAGAAAGGAAATAATCCCTTTAAAAACATGCCCAGACCTATTTTATAGTCCTTGATCCAACCTTTTATTAATTATACAATACAGACATCATTATATTTCATCAAACTAATTACCTTTATTAGGCTAATAAGCCTGTGAAAACAGGATCATTAGTGAGAATTACGTAGAAACAAAAACTAGTGATTTAATTGAAGAAATTTAACAATGAAATATTACATAATTTAACTTTGAGCCTTTAAAAATTATTTACAACTTGTATATTGTTTGTCATTGCAACAGAAACTTTCGCTCTTTTGATTTTCATAATTCATATCTATTTTTTTTATAATTTCAATGATTTAATATTGTCTTTGATAATTATATTCAAAATATTTTTGATCTGACCACTCTTACATCCTTTTACTTTTAAAATCTAAGTTTTTATTGTTTTTGAGAGAAATTATATCTCTAAAAAATTTATTTTTAACTTAAAACGTTGGATCTTAAGTTTTTGTATCCAAATAATGACATTCAAATTAACCACATGCTGTACAAACTTCTTTCTGAGCTTCTATCTATTCTATATACTTTGCTTATCTGTTTGTTTGTATCCAATAAACGTCAAAACGGCTGAACCAATCAGGCCCAAATTTTTTGTGGGTCCTCACATGACCACAGGAAGGTTTATGAATGATCGAATTTTCAAAAATTTGCCTCTGGCAAAATTCGATTTTTGAAAATTTTAAAAGTCCACGAAATTTTTTTTTAAATCTGCGAACTTTTTTGTTTGTTTTGTTTTACAATGTATACAGAGAGAAAATGTTTCATTGAAAGAAAAGATTGCGTGAAGCCCTCAGAAAGCCTAGTTATTTTAATTTGTTTTGGATCCATCAAACAGTATTTTTTTTCGAATTCTGTTTCTGAAATCTTGCTTTAGGTCTGCACGTTACGATGGAGTTTTATAGGACAAGATCGGTTATAATTAAAGGTTAACAATGTGTTATACAGGCTAACAGTGTGTTATACAGGCTAACAGTGTGTTATACAGCCTAACAGTGTGTTATACAGGTTAATAGTGTGTTATACAGGTTAACAGTGTGTTATACAGGTTAATAGTGTGTTATACAGGTTATAGTGTGTTATACAGGTTAACAGTGTGTTATACAGGTTACCAACGAAAAATGAGACAATGTCTTTTACTTCTAGAACTGTTTTCTTTTTCAGAAATGACCCATATTTCCCAGCTTTGAATATATCATCAGGGCGGCCTCATTGTATAGCATTCACCCGTTCACTGCCCGGGCAACAACGATTAGGTAAATCAAGATAAATGTCGTCTTAGCTCTGCGCTTTGTGGTTTCGGGATTAGGATTTTCATATTGGATGTGCTTGAGATTTCAAAAACTGTCATATTTTTACTTTAGTGAGATATTCAACGTTTTTTAGGTAATTCTCCGTTTAAGAGTTAAATACTAGATAAATATATCGGGGTAAAGGTTATATTGAATGTACTATCAAATGATATTTCAAAAACTGTCATAATATTTTATTTGCAGTATTAGGTAATCACCAGTTTTATCAGTTTTATAACTATATCGATGAAATAGTTTAAATCTTTATTGATGATAAACAATCGGGGTTTAACTTGAAAAAGGCAAACCTCAGTTTTTCTCTAAAAACTATTTGGGAAATAATATTTTAACTTCTATTGAGACGATAATGACTGCTAAACTTTGAGATATCCGGGTATAACTTTGATTGTTTGAGTCGAAACTAAGCCTTTAAGTCGCAGACTTAAATAAAGATGTTTTTATATTTTGTAGGACCTAGAGAGCAGTTGAACCAGGATACTGCTTTCCTAGACTCTAGTCAAATATACGGACAGAATATCTGTGATGGGGACTCTCTCAGAGAGTTTAACGCCGGCAGGCTTAATATGACTCTTCCAGAACATCCCAGGTATACAGCTGGAGGCGTAAAAAGGGGGTTGTATGTGGCTCAATCCCCCTCCTGAATCAGAGAAATATATAGTTTCCAGAGTATTTTAGATCCAACCTGGTTCTGACCCTCACCTTCCCGAAAAAATAAAAAAAAAATTTAAGTTTCTGTTTATGCCGCTAAACTATGCTTTATTATGCGTGCTGCAGTGTTTTGAAGTACTCTGACCGACAGAATAGCGTTGTATTACAGTAGATTCATTCATCATTCATTCATTAATATTGGGTAGCACTCTTAATCAACTCATGCACATATTGTTATTTATTATTATCGCCTCGAAGTTTAAAATCATTCTTATTCTTATCTTTGCAAATTTTCATACTTCATATAAAGGAACTGAGTTTTTGCCACAAACTCTGATTTTCTAATTCCAATATCTTTGCAACTTGAGTCGTAGAACTAAGAATTCTGTTGGATCAAATAATTTATGTTTGAAATCTTAAAGGAAAATATCACCAGGTTGCCAAGATATAGAAATAAGAAAATTTGAGTTTGTGGCAATGTCTCAATTCCATAGATCAAAGAGCCAAAATATAAAAAAGTATAAAAAATTTACCCTCTCACTTTGTAAAGATAAAGGGGTTCAAAAACCAAAAGTTTGTTGCAAGAATTCCTTTGTTACTGGTCAGAGAAATTTTGTCAGTTTTGTTATTTTCTATTATTTTGAAGGGGTAAGGAGTTGATGCCGACAGTCAGCGATCATGCAGAATGCAAGGTGAAAAAATAAATCATTTTTCAAAATGCGTTTGTTTTCCATAACTTTTTTCTTACAAAGGCTGAATCTGGAAAATGCTTTAAAGCTGGAGATATGCGCGCAAGTGAACAGCCAGCACTCGCCGCTCTCCACACGATCTTCCTGAGGGAGCACAATAGGATCGTCGGCCAGCTCCAGCGCATCAATCCTCACTGGGACGACGAGAAGCTGTTCCAGGAGGGTCGAAGGATCATGGGAGCTCAGAATCAACATATCACTTACAATGAGTTCTTACCAAGGTATAAATATTAACAGAGCCGAAAACTTTAGAACTATGGATATTCAAATCAGTGCTTGATCTCCTCTTTTTCTTAATCTCAAGATTAATTTAATCATTAGTTTGTATCCACATAAAGTGTGTAAAATTCAACCAATAGAGTGGCGTATGCAAAAAAAACCAAGCAGCCAATCAGACGCTGGGAATTTTGAAATTTTTCGCGCCATTTAATGAGAGAACTCAGTGGTCGGAATCACTTTTTAAGGATATTTAAAAAGAGCGGATCTAGCTGGAGTGAAGTGTTTAAATGGATTTTCTAATTTTAAAGCTGAGATCATAGAGATAAAAAGAGACCAAAAATAAAGAGAGAGAAGCGAACAAAAAACACAGAAATCATCATGCAGAAATCAGAGTAAATATTACAGAGAAAACTGAGATTAGAGAAGATTGGAAAGTTAAAGAATAGAGAAAAGGAAATAGGTAATGGTGAATATAGAAAGCAGAATAGAAAATATGGAATTTACAATAAGGAACCAGGGGGGCTGATAGAACAGAGAAGAAATACTAAAGAACAGAAATCGTAAGAGAAGAAAAAAGTTATAATTGGGAACAGAGCATAGATCACAAAGAACAGATAACTAAAGAAAACAGAGAGAATAGATAAATTGTAGCAGAAAACTAACAAAATAACTGAGAACAGAGAACAGAAAACAGAAATTTTAAAGAACAAAGATAAGAGAACAGAACATAAAGAACAGAAAAAAATTATTGTAAACAAGGATATATGAAAAATATAAAGAAGTATAAAACAGAATAAAGGAAATCTATATTTTGTAGGATTATCGGATTAAACGCTATGAATCGTTATGATCTACGAGTTGGAACTGAAGGATACAGTAACGAATATGATCCAACGTGCAATCCATCCATCTTTAACGAGTTCGCGACAGCTGCATTCAGGTAAAATAAAACATTAATTGCACGGCATTTTGAACATCTTATTTTTAGATTACTTTTTTGCAAAAGATAAATGATACGTACTGTGTACTTATCAAAATGCATCGTTTTATTTTAGCTGTTTTTCCTTCTCATATTTAGCTGATTTATGGTTAGGGGTCAATTGCCCCGAGTGCTGTGCGCCCAAAATATATGTAATAACAGATGGGAGAAAAATGGCGAACAATCCATCAACTTTTTGCATGAGCGCAGGTTGCAGAAAAGTGCATATTTTAGATTTGTGTGCGTGCACCGATAAATTATAAAAATGGCGGGGCGTTGACATGTGTTGCCGCGTAAACTGTTTCTTCCAACAGTCTGCGCTTTATCTTCCATCTTTGCCGCGTACACAATTCAACCTTTCGGCGCCAATTATTTATGTCATAATTCTCTATATGCAAAACAGCTTTTAAGGCCGGAACCTATTTGATCAAAGCATTAGATGCAAATGCATTTCCTGCACTGTGTTGAGTACAAAAAATATAATCGATGCATACAATGTATTTTTTTCTTTTTTCTTTAGATTCGGCCATTCTCTGATTCGTCCGATGCTTACAAGAATGTCGGGTCAGTTTAAAGAGATGGATTCTCATATTAGGTAAACCATAGTCACCTCTAAAAAATGTCATAAGAGCCCTTTGTCTAGGTCCACGTTAAAAACTGTAAAAACACATTCCAGTGAAATTTGCTCTAAACCTTGATAAAAAGAAATTATTATTATAATTATTATTATTATTTTTATTATTATTATTATTATTATTATTATTATTATCATTATCATTATTATTATTATTATTATTATTATTATTATTAAAATCCCTATATCTATGCAACCTTATGGTTAACCTATGATATTTCTAACTTAGATTATATGATCAAATACAATTCATACTTTGAAATATTAAAAGTCTACAACATCAGAGCTGGGAACTTTAGAATGGATAACCTTTAATCCCAACTACTTAATCCGAATATCCATTGTAGAAACTTTTAATTTTAGTCCTTAATCCACTCGTTTTCTCTCTCTTTGGAAATCCGTACATTATTTTCTCCAATGAGAGTGCATGAATATATTTCGTAAATTGTATTGACCAATGACAGCCTTAAAAAATAAATTCTATCCCATGAGAGAAATCTGCAATTTCTAACAAATCAAGAATTTGTTGTCGGCCATTTTGTAATTTAATCGGTGAAGAAAAATATTTAATAATACGTTTGAGATTATTTTTTTAACCAATTTTAACAATGTACTCATACATAAAGGGGTGAGAAATTACGTGAAGGCCCTTTCAGTCAGGAAAACGAACCAATCTGGCATTCTTAGAATCCAATTTGTTGATCTAAATATATTTAATCTCAACACTAACATAATCTCGAGATTATGTTAGCGTTGAGATTAGCAAAAACAGAGGATTAAGCATTAATCCTGATATCCACCATTCTAAAGTTCCCAGCTCAGGTTACAAAGACATAGGGATTAGAAAAAGTTATAACATAAATAAAGTTTTTAAATGATAAGATTTTTGCTTTTAAAATATACTCTTTTTTAAAGGTTGATTTTCTTATAAGTATTTTTATTTTCAGGTGAGATTACCAACCATCTGTTCGAGGAGAAAAATATTCCTAAATCTGGTCTTGACCTCGCCGCCTTAAATATACAACGAGGTCGAGACCACGGCCTCAAATCATACAACGAGTACAGGGTCGCCTGCAACCTCAAGCGCGCGCACAACTTTGATGATCTTGTGCACGAAATTAACCCGGTAGGTTTAAACTTTCTTCAAAACAGAAATATAATACAATGTAAGATAAATGTCGTCTTTTAATTCTTCCATTTTGGTTTTATAGATACATAAGTATTTTTATGTTTATTGTTCCAAATAAGTATCATTATTATTATTATTTATTATTTTTTTTGTTTAATTATTATTTTCATTATAATTATTATTATTTTTATCATTTATCATTGTTACTATTATCATCATCATTATTATTTATATTATCATAGCATTATTGTTATCATTATCATTATTATCATTATTATTATTATTGTTATTCAGGATGTTGTAAAGAGGCTGAAGCAGATTTATTATTCAGTAGAGGATATTGACCTCTTTACTGGAGGTCTTAGTGAGGTTAGTCAGTTAAATCAACAGACAACAGACCATTTTTTATATGGACACTTAAAAAAAAGGACAAACATAGAAGAGTTATTTCTAAAAATAATGAACATGATCAATAAGTAACAAATTAATAAATTTAAAAGAAATTTCAATGGAAACATTGTTTTCCGAATAAATATTTCAAAAAAGAATTTGGTTCAAGGTCAGAAAACTTTTTTACCCTTTTCTGTTTATTTTATTAACCTAAAGAAACACATTCGTTAAAGAAAATGCGGTTAGACTTTCACTTTACTTCCTAGTTTACATACAGTTTGTTGGACGATAAAATAGTGTTTTATAAATCATCCTTTGTTATACTCTTCTCTCTTGTATTTTATTTAATCTTAAAGCTTATAGAGAACGTGAGACCGGTCTCTATTCAAACGAGGAATCACTTTTCCAGTATATATTTAGACATAAAGATACAAAAAATGTTCGAGATAGATTTTAATAAGACCGGGACTCAATAAGAATATATTTGTTTAGGTATCCCTGAAAGGAGCTCTAGTTGGACCAACCTTTGCCTGCATTATCGGAATCCAGTTCCAAAATATCAAAAAATGCGACAGGTAAAAATATTCAATTTTTCGACAGATTAAATTAGTAAATTTGATATTTTGCTGAAAAAAAGTTTGAAAAATTAAGATATTAACATAATGAACATGAACAGGTTCTGGTATGAAACCTCCGAGGCTTCTGTGAGGTTTACCGAGGCCCAGCTGACTGAGATTAGAAAGGCAACCCTAGCCAAGGTATCATTTTTTTATATTCTTGTGTTTGTAAAATTTTAATTATTTTCTTCAGAAAATAAAACATTTTTAAATATTTACAGATATCTAAACACTTTTTTGTTCTTTACTTTTAGATTTTTTAACGTTTGTTTAGATTATCTGTGAGAACTGTGATGTAGTGGATAAAATACAAAAATCTGTATTTGATCAACCTCATGAGTTCCTTAATGAGAGAGTTCCTTGCAGGTTAGTTTATGTTCCAGGGTTTAACCAAGGGTTCCAAATCTGTATTTGATCAACCTCATGAGTTCCTTAATGAGAGAGTTCCTTGCAGGTTAGTTTATGTTCCAGGGTTTAACCAAGGGTTCCCAGTAGGTTAGTTAATGTTCCAGGGTTTAACCTCGGGTTCCTATTAAGTTAGTTTATGTTCCCAGGGCTTAACCAAGCGTTCCTAGTAGGTTAGTTTTTGTTCCACGGTTTAACCTCGGGTTCCTATTAAGTTAGTTTATGTTCCACGGTGTTCCAGGTTTAACCAAGGGTTCCTATTAAGTTAGTTGATGTTTCAGGGTTTAACTCCGGGTTCCTTTTAAGTAAGTTTATGTTCCAGGGTTTAACTCCGGGTTCCTATTAAATTAGTTAATGTTATATTTTGTAAATTAATCTTCTATTCATATCTCTATTTTAATTATTTTATCTAGAAATAAAAGAATAGATCTATAATTTATTATTTGTTCTAGAAACCTGCCTTCAATAAATCTTAACCTTTGGAAGGAAGAAACCCACAAGTGTAAGGTGAAAATAAGGATAAATTTCATTTTATAAATATAATTATATAATTATAAATTATATAATTATATAAATTTCATTTATAAATATAATTATGAGAAGTTCATAATTCAGTATAATGTTTGAACAATAATAAATTACTGTAATTATCCAAAATAATTGCATTTTTATGATACAGTCTGAAATGCAATGATTCTCCGAACTGTCTGAAAAGTGCAGTTTGTATTCTGCAGTCTGCACCCCAACTTGCAGGATTCAACCCTATATCCTGTACTAACCCTCGTAGATATCAATTTTGGGCATATACATGTAATTAGGGAACATTCTAAACATTTTCAACACGGCTTATCTTGATTAAATCATGTTTAAAGGGAGTGATAAACAAACTAAGCAAGGGTCGAATTGTAATAAAGTTATTACACAAGCTGACTCCGAGTAACTCCGAGAGAATTATATGTAGAGCAATTATACACAAAGTCAAGACAGTCAAATTAACAAGGAAAACAAAATTTGATCCCATTGGTTGATATATTTTCCAAAATTTGATCCCATTGGTTGATATATTTTCCAAAAATTGATCCCATTGGTTGATATATTTTCCAAAATTTGATCCCATTGGTTGATATAATTTTCAAAATTTGATCCCCACTCCTGTATGCCGAGTCCATTAGCGCTATCAGTAAATGGAAATATTTACTTCTACTGAAACTATAGTGTCCCATTGGTTGATATATTTTCCAAAATTTGATCCCATTGGTTGATATATTTTCTCAAATTCCGCACAGAAAGTAAACGCATTCTACATTGCCACCTATAGTTCTTAACCCTATCCCTGCTGGGGTACTTGAAAAAAATCCCATGTTTGAGGTCCAAATATGACAAATGAACAAATGATACATCATTGGAAAGCTCTTGTGTTCTACTTATAGAATCTGAAAAAATTGCAAATTTGCAAAAATTGAATTCTTTTTTGCAAAATCCAGTTATATTGGAAAAATGTTTGCAAAAAATAAATTGTCCAAAATATGATGTAATACACATTTTTGAAAAGCCCTTGACCATGCCATTTTAAATAAGATAAAATATTTGCAAAACTTTAAATAACCCTATGTTTAATGAAGAAAAGCTAAAAATGTACAATTTTCATTTGACGGATTGTATGCAAATAGTTTGCGAACATTTCTTTGCAAAACAGCTGACAACTATGTGGGTCAAAACAAAGATTTAGTTTGTTATTGGATAAAGTAGTCATTCAGGCAGTGTGCCTGAGGACTCAGGCAGTTCGTTTAAAAGCCCGGTTTTAGAATTAAAGGGATGGCTATGGGTATTTAGGAAAAGTCGGAAAATGTCAACAGTCTCAGACCAATACCTTTTGAGTTATGTAAANCCCCCTTAGCAGGAAAAGGGTTAATAATCTATTTAAAAAACATGACTTCTTCAGTGTTTAAAAATATAAATAGGGAAAACTTTGTTTTGCTTCAGTTATTATTCTTCTATATTGTGGTCTGCCTCTTTTATATCTTATAAAGATTTTTTATTTAATCTTGATGTTTACACAATTTTGGTTCTATTTGATGAATTGAAAGCTGAACAAAATTTGTTAAATCTTTGGTAATTTTGAAAGAATAAAAGAATAAAAATCAAAATTTTGAAAAGGGATGCATTATGATTTTTGTTTAAAGAATCATATTCATTACCCTTGTATAAAATTGAAGTTGTCAAATAGGTTAATTTGTTTTACTTTTGTTAAATAAATATAATTATGAATAATGTTTTATGTAGATTGATAGGATAGAAAAAATAATTTTTTAACTTTAATAATTTATTTAATTAAATTTTACAATATTTTTAAATTTCAATATGATATCAGATGGAAACCTTTTGAGACTTCTATATTTCTTGTTAGGTATGTGTTGTGATAAGTGTTTAATGATTAATGTTCATAACTCTTGTTAAAAATCAAAGACGATCTTTAAGTTGTCTCCAAATGGATGAGTTGTTGTAAGACAAAAGTACTTTTGTTAAATAGAAGTAGATATACAAAATGTTTTTGCTTAGGTTGATGGGATTGATATACCCTTGGGAGCTTCAAGACGTATTTCTCCATGCACATCCTGCACCTGCACTACAGAAAACGTGAGTTTTTTTAAGTGTGTCTTACTAAAAATGGAAATTTAAAGACGACCAACAATGATACAAAAATTTGAATTTTCATGACTTGTTTCAGTCGGACAAACTGTAACTTAACCCATTATAAACAAATTGAATAAAATAAAAGTCTGTTTTAACTATTTATGAAACTATTGTGTACTATATCATTCTTCCTCACTTCATCGTGAATTTCATAATGAACGTGCTATAAAGTTAAATTAGCTGTACATTGTAGCACGTGTGCTATAAAGTTTTATTTGGTTCCCGGATTTTCTTCAAAAAATTTTGTATATTTCCAAAATATTTTTTTATGTTGAAATAAGCTTATTTGTTTTAAAAGAGCAGTAGAAATAAGTACACAAACATTTCAAAAATTTCCTATAACACTATTATTTTAACACTACGTGCTATAAAGTTTTTGGACTTTAATTTTCTCTATTTCTCGAAGAAAGTTAAAACCTTCTCGATGAAAAGAAAATTTTTGCCAAAAACTTATAACACTGCCAACCAAAATAACAGTGTTATAAATAGTTGTTAAAGTTTTTCGACCAAGAATGCGCATATCCAATACTTTATCGTTTTAAAAAAAGCAGTTTATGTCAAAGAAAAATATTTTTTATTTAAACTTAAATGCATTTAGGCTGAATGTCAATCCCTGCGTGTGAATAACTGCCGTCAGCTGATTGCCGAGGTCGGTGAAGAGGCGGTTAGAAGAGATAATATCTGTAAAACTCAATGCTCCTTTGCTCTTAACTCCCCTGATGCTACAACTGAGGGTGTGCTCACTGCCCCTCCGCCCCCACCTGCTCCTAGTCCTCCCAGAGCCCCCCAACGGGGTTCAATCCGGGCACCAAACTCTCCCCGTGCCCCACTCCGGCCATCGATCAAAGCTCCGAGTTTCTTCAGTTCTCCATCAGGACCTAGATCACAACCCGTCTCGGTTACAGGAACAGCTCAGGGTCCCAGTATACCTATAGTTCCTGTCCAATCAGCTGGTGTTCCTATAGGATCTGGCACAGGAGGTGTGTCTGGAGTTCCTATTGGAACAGGAACTCCTTTAGGGTCTGGTGTTCCTCTAGGACAAGGATCAGGTCCAGTCCTACAAGGCGGTCCTGTTCTTCAGAGTGGAGTTCCTAACTCCCGTCAACCACGTCCACTCTTCACTTTCCCAAGCTTGAGGCTTCCCAACTTGTCAGACATTTTCGGAATCTAAAAAGTAAATATGTCGTCTTTGTTTTACACAGAAGAGTTCGCTCGCTCAACCATCCATTTGGTTTGGTGTGACAACGACGACATTCAGGAGAACCGCTGCCATATTGTATTGAATTTTTGTTATTGATGTGATAAATCAATAAGAGAAAAGATCAGGGAAACTGGGCATTACGTACTTTGCACGACAAAAATTTACCCTGAGCTCTTTTCCCGCCAAGTGTGGCATCCATTGATCGTTTGTTTTTATCTTTTCCATTTCTTGTTTTATGCTTTACTCATATCCTCAAAGCCAGAATTTTTGATTTTTATTCTAGGATCGATGAGTTAGAATTATTTACGCGACACTCAGAGAAAGCTTAACAAAACTGCTTAAATCTTGACAATTGAACAATGGCGTCCTATTTCGTTAAATTTAACCTTTCTCCATTTCTTGATCAAAAATCCGTGTCTTGATTGAAATATTCGTGTATTTATTTAGATTTGTTAATTGTATTTATAAGTATCTACTTATTTATCTATTTATTTATTCATTTATTGAAACCTACTTTTAATGTCTTTTTAACTCTTAATATCTATCTTATGCAATCAAATTACTGTCGTAGATTGGCATTGCATCTCCAACCCCCATTCGTGTGCCATCAGCAAAAGTTTTAAAATTTTAATTTTTAAAGTCATTAAAAATTATATTGGTTAAAATGAGAGCTAAGAAATTAAATTGCTAGTCTTTGGCCTATAGTAAGATCAAAGCCATCAAGGTCTTGTAAGCGTAATTTGAAATAATTTTCTAAGTAAAAAGTGCCATCAATCATCCATAATAGAAATAAAAGGGGGAAAATTTCGATCTTTTTCCCTAATTTTATATTTATCTAGTGCTTATATGCATAGATTGAAAAGGCACTGTTGTAACATGTTTCAGTGGTACTCTTTAAAGGGATGTATTGTAAACCTTTTTATAATTACGCTGTAAATCCCTTTATCAATTCTGAATATAATGTAAACTGATGCACGACCCTATACTACCTTTCACTGATTTCCTCAACTTAATGTTGAAAAAACAGAAAACAATGCATTTGAATAAGTCGAACAATCTCTCCCCTCTCTATCATAAAACACTGTAAAAGCTCTACTAAAACCCTTTTTGTATATTTCAAACAATTTGTTCTGAAAAAAAATTCACATCAAAACAAAGTATATGAATGTACATTGTGCAATGTGTAAAAATTATTGTTCCAAATTATGTCAGCTGTTGACTGTACGAAAATATTACTGTACGTAACCTGGTACAATTCGGCCGTCCAACTTTCGCGCATTCCTACTTCCGGCTTCCCTATTTGAAACACTGCAGGAATCCTTTTTTTAATTCAGCATAAAAAATTCAAATCCGAAAAAAATATTTATTTTAATTTTGTGTTTTAACCTTTCCTAGTCAAAAACCATGAGTCTGATTTAAAAAATACGGTTGTATGAGAAATAAAAGCTTTTGTATTAGAAATGTGAGCTATTCACAGATTAGTGATTTTATTGCGTGCTTAGTAAAACATATATGTAGATAAACAAGAATTGGCAATCTGAGCAAACATTTCCTATTTTTCCCATCTTAGTGTATACATTTATTTATTGTGATTCCTACACAAGAAGTTAAGTTAATATTCCTACTGTTATTATCGTTAATATATTATTTATTTATTTATTTATTTATTTAGTTATTTATTTAGTTTATCATTTAAATTATCTTGATTTTTTGTCTATTTTTTATGTTTAAAGTTAAAGAACTAAAGATCGTCGAACCTCTTTGAAAAAAAGTAAATAAAGCGTCTGGAAAATTAACCAATGTGTGCTGTGCATCCCACTGAATATGAAAATTCAAAGACGACAAAGTAAAATATTGAATTTGCAAGTGCTTCAGTTGGACTGATAGTAAAAAAAGTGTAACGAAGGCCATGTATATTCCACATCATATTGGATTGTGCACACCTCTAAACAGGGATTTTTGGAACAAACTAATCTAATAAATTGTATTGGGATGATAATAAACTTGCATGTAAAAATATTTAAGGTTCTTTTATAATCCAATGTAAATTATGATATAACACCCTAGCTAGTAGAGATTGATATAGTTTTTTTGAACGAATGAAAGTTTTCGTGGAATTGGGTGTCGTTCAGAATAAAAAACCAACAACGGACGAACGAAATTGATCTTCCAGAAAAATGAAGAAAAAAAAATTTTAACGGACGATTTAAAATTAGTTCAAACAAACTTGTAAAAACTGCCGTTTTTTTACTAAACGAACAATTATGGGAACGAAATATCAAAAAAAACTAAAGTGATTTACTAAATGGACGATTTTTTAAAACAATTTTTTTTAAAAACTATTTTTTTTACTGAACAAACGATTTTAGCGAACGAACGACTTATACTGAACGATCTTTCAGTAAAAAAAACACGAACGAAATGGTTGTTCACGAAAGATAAACGAACGAAATGAAAAAATGTCGAACGTGCCCATCTCTACCTGCTAGTTTTGTAAAATATTAAGGTCAATTTTGTTTGAAAAGGTCGATTTCAAGAAAACCAAGCGATAAAACCCTAACAACCGTGATAATTTTTGTTTTTACAAATCAGATAAATATTTATGGATAAGAATGAAACTTAAGTGGACATTGTATCTATAAACTTATAGGAAACTGCCAGAGTTATTTATTAGGTTGAAAATAAGGAAAAATTCAAAATCAAAGGAATTGAATTTTTTTCCCCACAAACTCTGATCTTTTAATCCCTTTATCGTTAGACCAAATAATCTGAGTTTAAAATATCCAAGATTTGCAACATTAGATTGCAAAGATATAATTAGGAAATTTGAGTTTGTGGCAAAGACATTTCTTTTACCCATACTTTTGTGTTGATATATCGTGGGGGGGNACAGGGTGACCTGTAAAACATGAAAATCTAAAAAACTTTGGTAATTCATAATTATTTAATTATCTTCAAAACTTTACTTTTCATGTTTTAGTTATTTAGATCTTTAAAAGAAGATTCCAAAAATATCTTTAAATTTTTTCTAGCAAAAAAATTGACAATTTTATAGATTCAAAACTAAATTACAGGGTGTTCTTTTGGGTTTTTTCCGAATTCAAAATCTTGTTTTTTTGGGTTTTTTAAAATTGAAAATAAAATAAAAAACCCAATTTTGAAGTTACGTCAAATATAAAATATGTTTTGAAAACAGGAAATCCTAAGGAAAGCGCAGGAAAAGACAAGACAACATTTAGTTTATGAAAAAAGGCACTTTAAAAAAAAAAACCTCACCCGGTCAAAATTGACCTTCTCGTCACTAATGGGTTAAAAGAAAACTTGGGGGGGGGATTAGAATTAAAAAAGATGAAAATAGATATGAAAAAGCAAGACCAGAAAAAAGGGTAAAAAAAGGAAGCAAAAAATACGTAGTGAGAGAAATAGGTAAATCAGAAATAGAATTGATGAACAGGAAAGAATTCAGACTAGGAAAGATTAGAAAGGAGAAAAAGCGAATGAAAAATAGAAATAAGAAAAAAATGAACAAAAAATACAAGAAAAAAATCTATTCACTATTTATAAATAATTTCTTTTCTTTTTATCAGATTTTTATTTTGGACCCTTTTCAAGGTTTCCTTTCCCTGACCTTTCGTCCTTTGACTTTCTTTCAGTAAATTTCATCAATAATTCATAAATTTGCCTAATAAAAAATGCAAACTAAGGTTCTGTCCAGTTTCTTCATGATAAAAAGACTATTCTGGAAAAATGTCTATATCAAAAATATTTTTCTTTTCGTTCTTTTGGTATCTTCAATAAAATATTTTTGGAAGGTTTAAATTATTAAATATGCTGGCGTTTTTTTTCTTTGTAGAATTAGGTAAAATATGTGAAAATATTCTTTTTTATTTGAAAACATTTAAAATATGTATTGTAATGTATAGGTATTCTTTATTTGGATGCTGTGTACGAAATATGTATTGTAATGTATAGGTATTCTTTATTTGGATGCTGTGTACGATATTTTATTTGTTGTTATTATAGTTAACAGTGTTAAACTGCTCTATGAGAGCCAAAAAAAGAAAATTTCTATATATTTTTTGGTATTTTTATTATTTTTTTGTTGAAAAAGTCTAATTCTGTTTTACAAATGAGAAATCTACAAGATGCGACCTGTAATAGAAGAACTGAAAGTTCATGTTCTATATATACATCGTTATATAGCAAAGTTTAACTTAACGTTCCCTGTCAAATGTTAGAAATTTTTAAAAATTTATTTGATTTTCTTTTTTAAAAGTAAAAAATATAAATAAAATATTTTTAGATATTTTCGTTTAGTTGTATACTTTTTGAGTTATTTGGGGTTAAGGTTTCGTATAACAAAATATTTTGTTTTTGATCTTCAACTTTGACCGTGTTTTTCACTAAGATAAAAATTAAATTTTGTAATTTTTTCAATTTCCATTTATAAATACGAATATTTACTTTATATTCTTTATACTTTTAACATGAAATTTTCTTTTTATAATGTAGTAAATTGTGAAAAATGTTGAATCACAACCACGAATTCTAGAGATTTTTGGACGTTTTGTAGTGTATCTTTTTTCGTGGACTAGATATCAAAATTTTGTTTTCACGTATTGATAGATAAAGTTTCCCGGAAAAAGTAAATAAAATTATGGTTTTAAATTAGTTGAGCCACTTTTTCTGAATTGTCCGTCAAAGTTGGGAAGGAAACACAAACTGGGTTAATTCTGGTGCAGAAAGTGAACAGGCCAGGAGAGGCCTGCCGCTCTCTATTCGGTTCTCTTACCGCCTACTTATATTCAGTCCGATACTTTCTCACGTATTCTACTCTTGAATTTCACCGTGACAATACACAGAAACCAAACCAACCTAATCAACATGTCTGACGCACCCGCTGCACCCGTCGCTGCCACCCCTAAGGTCAAGAAGGTCGCTGCCAAGAAGGCTGCCAAGCCCAAGGTCGCTGCTGCCCACCCTCCCTTCGCTGCCATGATCACTGCTGCTGTCAAGGCTCTGAAGGAGAGGAACGGATCCTCCCGTCAGGCCATCCTTAAGTACGTCCTCGCCAACTACAAGGTCGGAGATGCCGCTAAGGCCCAGGTTCGCGTCAAGCTTGCCCTGAAGAAGCTTGTCGCTGCCAAGAAGCTCATTGCTGGTGGAGCTGCTGGCAAGAAGGGAGCTGGTTGCTTCAAGGTCCCAGTTGCAGCCAAGGCTGAGAAGCCCAAGAAGGTTGCAAAGAAGCCCGCTGCTAAGAAGGCTGCCAAGAAGCCTGCAGCCAAGAAGGCCGCAAAGAAGCCCGCTGCAAAGAAGCCTGCTGCAAAGAAGCCTGCCGCCAAAAAGCCTGCCGCTAAGAAGCCTGCTGCTAAGAAGCCCGCCGCTAAGAAGCCCGCTGCAAAGAAGGCTGCTGCCAAGAAGTAAACTTCTCTTAAACTGAAAAATCCTTAATATTCATACTGAAACCATGTACTGTAAATATTTAAATTTGTACCTGACATAATAAATAATATAATGATATAAACTATTTATAAATTGATAAGATGAGACTCATTAAATCTGATAATTCCAATTGGTTAACTGAAGTTTTCTACCTTAAGTTATTGACAATTTAATGACTTATTCAAATATTATACAAAGGAAGAAACAAGTAGAGAATAATAAATACTAGGAAACAGAAAGTAAATTCTGTGCTAAGAGTCGTCTCTGAAGTCTGATCATTTGTGGGTAACCCTGTAGGCTGTAGGTAAATTTAATGAATTTAAAAATAGACTCGATATTTAAGGGAAGGCTTGAAATAAAGAATTCGTGAAATTTTTACTTTTGTCTTGTAAATTTCCGTTTCCTCGACATCTAAGAGAGGGGGGGGGGGCAGGTTATCGGAAGGATGGTAATCAAGTTAAAACAAAACATGTTATTATGATAAAATAATTTAAATTTGCGAAAAAGAAATGTTTTGAAATTACAGTTGACTAACGGTTTTCGGTCTTTTCGGAGAAAGGGAAGGGTTTTCAATTTTCAATTCTCTCCTGCAAAATGATGTGTCTTGTATGTCTACATGTCGATCCAATGTACGGCAGAACCGATCAAGCCCGCATTTTTGTTGCAACTCACAAATGACATATTTTTATGAGTTTAAGATGAAATTTTTCTTTTCTAGATCTTTTTTTTGACAGCTAAAAAATGGTTGCACGAAGCGCATTAAAAGCTGCTAGTTCTATATATTTCTCTAAATTGTAAATACATCTCTTCATAGTTCTAATAGAACAGTAATTTAAATCCCCTTTTTGAATTTTCCGTTGAGTTTTTCTAACGGAAGACGACTTTTTACCTCCGCTGATGCATGAAATAGATTTGGATAGACAAGGAAGTAGGAAGTACTAAGTATAGAAGTCATTCTTGAGCAAACTATTCGAAAATACAATTTAAAAATATAATAAACATTTTAGTTAGAGCCGCATATAAAACTTTGAAATAAAATCATTGTCTATCTCGTAACAATATGTGAATTTCTGCAACTATAACCATCTTTAACTAATATCAATCGTCTTCCACGGAATGAGAGCTTTAAATTTCGACCCTTTCTGTTAAAACCGAAAACATTTATTCCTACATGAACCTCTACATTTTCCTGTAAATTTTAATCTTTTAAGGCCCCGGCCCTCTTAATGGAGCTAGCCTAGAGGACGTCTTAAATGATCTTTCGCACCTCCTCAGCTCCGTCAAAAATTAATTATAGAACATTTAACGGTTTAATAAAGAAATATTTTCGAACATTGAACATCTGTTTTAACGGATTACGGCAAGGTATTATCTTTTTCATTCATAGTGAACGATTTTATTTGATGTTTGATATGTCGTATTATTCATTCAAATACATTTGGGCGCCCACTGCTGGAAATTAAAATTGTATATATGTGTATGTGTTTTTATTTTATGGGAGTTTTGTAAATCTAAACAATATTTAGCAATAAATATTAAACGCTTTAACTATTATTATTATTATTATTATTGTTGTTATTATTATTCTTATTATTGCTATTATTATTATTGATATTTAATTATAAAATTGATCTTTACAAATTTTTAATATCATACTGCAATTTGAAGGGTTGCAAACTAAAAGTTTAAAACCACTCCACTCCACTCTTTTCCTGTGCTTTCCTTTAAAATTGGTTTTTTTTTTAAATTTTCAATTTTAAAAAACCAAAAAAAACAAGATTTTGAATTCGGAAGAAAACCAAAAGAACACCCTGTAATTTAGTGTTGAATCTATAAAATTGTCAATTTTTTACTAGAAAAAATTTAAAGACATGTTTGGAAACTTCTTTTAAAGATCTAAATAACTAAAACATGAAAAGTAAAGTTTTGAAGATAATTAAATAATTACCAAAGTTTTTTAGATTTTCATGCTTTACAGGTCACCCTGTACAAAAAAAAGTTTTAAAATTTAATTGAATATTGTTTTTTTTATGAGTACAAGCAAGTTTTGTTATGACAAGATCCTTCTAAAACAACTTCTCTAATAGTTAATGGTCTCGTCACTAATGGGGCATATATCTAATGTTATCTAAAGACACGTTTACAAAATTGATACGTAAATATTACAGTCATAACCAGAAAGACCCGGAATTAATCGACAGTTAATCAGACAACTTTACATATATATATCACATTAAAGTGAGACCAGATATTGGTATTGGCAGGACTATAGCACTATTTTGCTACTATCGTTTCATTAATCACATTTGTAAAATTAGATTGTAAAATCGTATGATTAGTTATAAACTATAATTCCGGGTCTCTCTAATTATGACTGTTTACATATACGTACATATGCAAATTGTAATTATATATTTTGACGCCCTGCACTATATACATTCATAACAGATGTTAAATGACAAAATCTTAAGAAGAAAACACAGTAAGTCAAAAATATTTCCTCTGTAACTAAACAAAATAATGAGAAAACTGAAAAAAAGTTTAGATCACACTTTTCATAAGATAAATATTATTTAGAAGAAAAACAGTTGAATTTTTTAAATGTTTTGTACAGAATATTAAACAAATGATGTCCCACTCCCACATCATATTGGATCGTTAATAATCTAGGATTTAAATATAAAAATCTCCAAACCTCAACATTAAAATATTCACGGAACCTCGATACAAAAAGAATTACGCAACCTTAAACATAAAGTAGGCTGTCACACCTAAAAGTGAATTTAATTGGAGACCCCAACATTTTCATTTGAGAGTTAAGACCCTCAGATTTTCAATTGAGACCCCCAGATTTTCATTGGAGACTTTCAGAGTTTCATATAAAAGACCGTCAGATTTTCATTGGAGAATGGACACCCTCAGATTTTCATTGGAGACCCTCAAATTTTCATTAGAGACCCTCAGATTTTCATAAGAGACTGTCAGATTTTCATTGGAGAACCTCAGATTTTCATTGGAGACCCTTAGATTTTCATCAGAGACCCTCAGATTTTCCTTGGAGACCCTCCAGTTGTAAAGCTTGGGGGGGGGAGACTTTCATCGGAGTTTATTTAAGACTAAAGGAGCAAAGATATTTTTGATAGCAAAGAATATTGTATATGCTTAAACATTGTAAAATGTGCTAAAACAAGAAAAATGTAAAGAGATACTGATTTTTTAACAATTTATTAGAAATTTGAAATTTTTATTAACAAAATTTGAAAAGAGCAGTGAATTTTTTCGATATTGTTTTCTGATCTATGGAACTCTGACTCTGACTCAGCAACTGTTGAAGGTTAGCTTAAAACTCAATTTCCTCAATATTTTTTCAGAATGAAAAAATGCACTGCACCAAGCGGGGTTTGAAATTTCTGAGGATATTCGTTGTGTCAGAATTCCGCCTTAATAATGACAAATGGGATAAGAAAGGTTAGGCTAGGACTGGATAAGAGAGGTTAGGCTATTAGTGGATAAGAAAGGTTAGGCTAGGAGTGGATAAGAAAGGTTAGGCTAGGAGTGGATAAGTTAGGTTAGGCTAGGAGTGGATAAGAAAGGTTAGGCTAGGAGTGGATAAGAAAGGTTAGGCTAGGAGTGGATAGGTTGATTCGTGTGAGTTCATCTCAGACACAGTGCTTCAGAATATGGCCTCGTCTACAGCAATCTTGTCCTTGCAGCCAGCAGAGTATAAACCGGTATTATAGTGAATGGTGAACAACCTATCCAGATTCTACTTTCTATGTTTCCATTTTCCTTGTTTCTGGCAAAAGGGAAGGAGAAGAGGAGGAGAGAACCCTCCCCCCCCCTCCCACCCTCTCTGCACTATTATTTCCTTTTTAAAAGCTGCCATGGTATTCCACACAGGGTTCTGTTCAGCAACAAGAAACTGGAGAGAGTTGTATTAGAACCTGACTGTTCTTTGCTCCCAATTGATGCTTACACACAAAGAACCAGATTCAATTGAAAGAATTAACGTCTTTCCGACGAGTTTGGATCCTTAATAACAGTTAAGCAGGCTTGTTATAAAGGAGTATATTTAAAGCTGCTAGTAGCAACATCTGGATCCAGGTAAAAAACCACCATTCTCCAGGTTAATACAACGTTAAAAGATTAATGCACTTATAATGTTTTTTTTAGTTCCGTTTATTTCTTTTCCATTTGTGTGCAGGGGTGTATACCCCCTATACACCCCTAAATAAAAGTGTTTTTCTAGTTTGCCATTTTCTCTGTCTCACCCTGTATCGAGAACTCGTATAGAAGCGCCGAGCCACAGCCAGTTGTTGCTCCTCTGAAAGTTTAAGATAGAAAGTGGCAAAAAAATTCGTAGATTTGTTTAGTAGAAACTGTAATAAACAAATTTTTTGTGTATTGTACTGATAAATCTGCCTTTTTAGATTAAATAATTTATTCAAAGATTTCTTCAATGTCGCTTCCTCTATGGCGGTACTTTTTATTTTCAAGATAATTTATGACTTTTTGACAATTTTAGTTGAAACATCTAAAGGCGTCGTATTACATTTTTACCAAGATAGGTGGGAGGCGCCATAAATTTGAAATGTACGGCTGCAAGGAGGTCAAAATTTGGCTCACTTCCGGGATATTAATCATTCTCTTTACTATTTTATTTATTTTTAATTTATATTTCCATTGTTTCCTCGTTTTCCAATTTAATTATATTTAATTCATGTTACCTTTCTCTGCAATTTTTAAAATTTCTTCGAATAAAGTTTGATTGTTTTTCCATCACATAAAAATTAAATTAAGTTTTCTTTTGGTAATTCTGTTAATTCGCCAAAAAAAGAATTTTTTTGATATATAGATTTAATAATAAGAAAAATAGCGAAGGACTTTAACAAAACCTCCCCAAAATTCTATTGTTAAGAATGTCGTTGTATCCATCCAAAAATTTAAGAATTGAAAAATTTACTTTAAAAAGAATTTTGATTTTTAACAACTTTAAAAATCTACCAAAAAATATAAAATTTATTTTTTCATTGTTTGCTATTGTGTTACAAGTAAAAATGAGTGTATATTTTTTTCTTATAATTAATCTAAAGAATT